CGATGGCCGGAGCAGAGGCTGGCCGGTGGGGGGGGTTCCTCCTCTCTCTCTCTTCCCCCCCCCCGCCCCAAATCCCTGGGCGAGGAAGGGGAGGCTCCCCTTTGGAGGAGGGAGGGGGAGGGCCTGGACCGGCTGCCAATCACACGGAGGTGGGGGGGCTGGGTCTTCCGGCTTAAGTCCTGCCTCCCATCCCGCCCCCCCCTCCCGGGCTCTTCTAGGGCAGGAAAGGCGATTTTATTCCCATTCCACCTTTTTCCAAAGGAGGGGCTTCGTTAGAAAAGGTTGATCAGGGCTTTCTGTCTCCCCCCCCACCCGCTTCTCCCCTTAAGCCTGACTCATCCCCTCTGACGGGAATTCCCACCAATATCAAATATATAGAAGTGAAGGGGAAAGAGAGAAGCCGTTCTCGGGAGTGGCCAACTTTTTTTTCTGGCACAGCGCCTCTGCTTTTTAAGAGTTGTGTGCTGTTAGGCCACAATGTAGCAGGGAGCGTTTCTTTTATGTTTCGCCACAGGATGCAGGCCCGGCAGGCGGAGGTCTTCCCCCTGATGGTGTTTTGGATTTCCCAAGGGAAACAAAATATATCATTTTTGTTGCTAAAGCCACGTGGTTGTTGCTTGATCCTTTTTGTTTGTAGTGTTGCTGGCAAGCGCCCTGTAAAAGAAACTGGCAATCTTTGATACATGAACAAGAATGTGGATGCAAATGTGTCAGTTCTAAACTTGTCAGGACTGACGATGGTGTTTAAATTCAGGCAGAGTGTTACCGAAACAATCTGACTGATCCTAAGGCTCTAGTCCTCATGAGGCTGAAGTTAACCACCCCCTTATATGTTGTTGTACTGCAACTCCCGGTATTCCTCAACATGAGCTACTCTAGCTAAGGCTCCTGGGAGCTGTAGTCCAAGATCTGGAAGGGCCAGAGAATCTCGGCCCAGGAACCATGAGGACTAGAATGTAGTCCAAGATCTGGAAGGGCCAGAGAATTTTGGCTCAGGAACCATGAGGACTAGAATTACTGTATACAGTTCTTATAATTCATTTTATTGTTGCTACCCTTTAAATATATGGCACCGCCACCTTCCAGTCTTACTGTACAGATCTGAGATTAACACACCTGCAACTGAGGCACGCGCTTCTCTCCCAAGTTTATTCATTAATTCAAATTAATTAAAATCAATTTGTCATATCAATTTGTCTCTCCCAGGCAAACATTTCCTGGCACGCCTAAGTAAAACAAACATTGTCCAAGGACGCCCCCTGGTGGCGCCAGTGAGAAAAACAGATTTCCCCCTCCCTGGGAATGGCAGTACTGTATTCTATTCTGCTGCAGTTGTTTAGTCGTTTCCGACTCTTCGTGACCCCATGGACCAGAGCATGCCAGGCCCTCCTGTCTTCCACTGCCTCCCGGAGTTCGGTCAAATTCACTTTGGTAGCTTCGATGACCCTGTCCATCCATCTCATCCTCGGTCGTCCCCTTTTCCTCTTGCCTTCGCACTTTCCCAACATCAGGGTCTTTTCCAGGGAGTCTTCTCTTTTCATGAGAGAAGAGACTTCAGCAGATTCTCAGCTTGCGAAACTACCATTCCCAGCATTCTTTGGTCGAGTGTATGTGTGTACCTTTATGACTTCAAGCTGAAATTAAAACTGGGGGTGGGGGCTGCCTTGATCTGGATATTAGCCTCCATCAGGAGGTCCAAGGATTTCCACTTGGCCCCTTTCAAGGTCAGGAAGGAGGGCTGGGCCTTGTGTTCTGGGCTGGAATTCAGCTCAAGAATGCAACCTGGCCAGGTTTGAATTGTCCCTACATTACCTGTCGGTGTTTTTGAGGGAGCGGATTTGGCCTTGAACCAAACATTTAGTTGTGAAAAGACGAGAGGCGTCAATTTGCCGCTTGAGAACTTTCTTTGCTACAACTCAAGTACAACTTCGCTCCTCAAAGGAGTAAGAAGTGGGGTGGGGGAATCCATTTCCACGCCAACGGTCCTGTTTGCAACAGAGGACGGGCATTCAGGCTTCTGCAGGAACCTCAGAATCAGCCTATGAAAACAACACTCATTTCTCATTCTTTGTTTGCCCCTGGAAGCTGGTGCTCAAAGATAGACTGCTTTGGGGAAGGGAGGCTCTACATTACAGTCCTGGCTGACAGACCCTGATTGATTTCCCCTGCATGAATTTAGAAGATTCCCCTTTACATTCAAAAAGCAAAGACTTTTAGCATCAGGGCTAATTTTGTAACTTATTTGGGGGGTGTGTGTGTGAAATAAAATGCTGCCCCTTAACATTTTGAGGGCGGCCCTGGATGCTTCCATTTTAGGGCTTTGGAGCCCTTACTGGATTCATTAGAGTTTATGGGTTTCATCAGCACTTCCAGTTGCTGTGGAATGTCTTGTTGGCCTCAGTCTTCCATCTGCGAAATGGGTCCAGTCGCTTCAGCCTCCTTCCTGAGATATTCACAAGGAAGCACGAGCAGAAGCTATTACGGAGAGACTTTGGGTTCTTAGAAAAAGCGACAGATGAGCGAGCCGGTGGTGTAATGGCAAATTCTGAAGTAATGTGCTCATCCTATTGGACTACTCAGTTTCCATTTGCAAATCACTGAGTAGGTCTATAGCAACATACCAGTTCCAGCCCTTATTTATTTCCAGCCAGAGCGGGTCTTTTGTAAAGCTAATGGGACTTGATTGCCACTCCAAGGACAAACCTACCCTGAAATCTTCAGCAAGATGGCAACATTCTCTCAATGAGAAATGGTTTCCTGAAACATACACAGAGGTGGGCGGGTCAATTCATGGCCCTTCTTAGTTGAGAAGTCTCAGCCGTTTGGCCCGGAGGCTTGGCTCAGCAGCCACCCAGGAGGCCAATCATAAGATCCTTTACCTCTTACAGGTCTGATCCTTTTCAATGTCTGCCCCTGTCAGGTGCGAGCGAGCTCCTGGAGAGCAGGTGCGCCATTCCAGCGCGTGGGTGTGTATCATCTCGGTCGTCTGCTGAAAGTTGCCACTTGCGTCGTCGCTAAGGAAGGAGAGGAATTTGGAAACCTGGCAGGGAGCCTTGCTCCGAGATCTTGGCCTGCATGCAACATACCGGACTGGTTTTTCCTTTCTTCCTTATCGCTGGCTGGGCGACCGAGGCCCTCCCCGAGGGTGGGTGGTGTCAGCTGCCTTGCGATGATGCTCTCACTACCATCCAGCAAGAAGACCAAGACGGAAGGGCCAGGTACGTTTTGGGCTTCGTCTTCCAGGGACTTGGAGGGTGGGAGTTTCACACGGCCAACTTTTCAGCCTGCGCCTGTGCCTCTGCCTTTGAGATCTGCCTCACCTGCAGGGGCAAAGCCTTCCCCGTCACCTGTCTGTGAGGAAAGAACTCCCTTGTGTACATTTTTATGTTTAAATCCACAGGCACAGGGTGGAAAGAAAAAGTTGGCAACCCTGTGCCAGTTTGATTGTGAGGTTGGACGCCTGCAGAAAAAGCTGGCCTTGTCTTGAGTTTCATTTGCAGCCACAGTTTGGGGAAAGGTGGGAGGGGAGAGCGAGTGAGCGCAGCTTCGAAAAGTGCTTTTTGTTGCTGTTGTTGTTGCTGGACTACAACTCCCGTTCTGGCTGGGGGATTCTGGGCCTTATAGTCCAGAGAGGTTCTGAGTGTGTGTCACCTTTCAAAGACACACTGAGCAAGCTGCACCATCCCAGCGTTGGCCCCAGAAGACGGCAACGATAAACCACCTTTGTGTATTTTCTACCTGGAAAACCCAGCAAAGGATTGTTGTGGGTAATGGGTTTTATGGGACAGTATTATTATTGCTGTAGTTATTTTTATCATATTATCATCATCATCATTATTAGGTTTATTCTCCTCCTAACCCCTTCTTGTGCCTTCGGTACTTAAAGCAGGATTCCTATGGATTTTTTTCAGTGCTTACCTGCTGGGTAGAAATTCACCAGGGGCAGCTTATCCTAGATCAGAGATTCTGCCCCCAGGGAGAACCTCTGCTGCTTTGAGTTTGCTCAGTTATAAACAATGAAGGGGGGGGGGGGGCTTGATATCAGAGAGGCTTGGCCTGAACTTTTGCTTTGAACAAGATTTCAAAACCTACCTTTTCTTCCTGGCCTGGGGCTGAACCCTTAATCCTATCCTGAATTTCATCCAAGTTTTGCTCTCCCATGTTTCCACCTGCCTCTCGGGGTCTCCTTTCTTTCTCTCCAGCTTCACATTGTATTTATTTGTTGATTTATTATTCCACCGTTCTTCCTTACAAAACCCAAAGTGGCTTGGAGTTAGAAAGATATTAGACTCGGCTTGCTCCCGAGTTGGAATTCTTCAGGGTGAGGTCCTTCCCGACCAGGTGGAAATCTAGGAACCTCTGATCTCTGTTTATGTCCGTAAGCTCAGAGTTGGCTTTTGCAGGATGTCCATGGCGAACGGGCCGGAGAGGCGACCTTTGACTGATGAGATCCTCAGGCAGCTGCCCCTGGCCGAAAAAGTGAGTGGCTCTATCTTCTCTATCTTGTGTGGTCATGAATTGGAAGGGCCCATTTTCCAAGCTTCCTTGCGCGAAATCCTGCAGTGGGAGCGAAAACCCTGATCTTGATTGAGTCCTCAATGAACAGGATCAAATGTGCTGATAAATCGTGGTCCGGCAGTGTCACACAGAACCACAAAGATGTTCTCCTATGCAAAGCAGCTTGTTGCGTAAGGTTTTCCTGCCTGCCAGCATTTCTGTTTTAATTTTGGACTTGCTGTGGGATGGTGTGGGGGTGGTGATGTCAACCTACAGACTCTTTCTAGGGCTCATAGCCCTGCTGGCTGAAGGATTTCCTCACTTCTTTTTCAAAATAGTAATTTCCCCCCAGCTCTGATCGGGGCTCATGGCTGTTTCTTTCTTGCCCTGCCTTGCCCTAGACTGCCCTGTGGGGCACACTGGGGACCATCAGACCCCATTTGAGTTTTAATGTGCAAAGAGATGTCCAGGCTCTCCTCGAATCCGTCAGTGGCGAAGGTAAGGAAACTCTTATGATCACAGCTATAGTCCTTGAGTGTGCCTTTTGTTCTGTTCCCCCCCCCCTTGAATCTGCACAACAGGCTTTCAAGGTAGGCCAGTCCGGAAAGATGAACGGCTGGCCTACGGATCGGCCAAAGCCCTTCATAGCTGGGCAGGAGAGGGAGGGAGGAAGGGAACTCATTTGAAAACCTATTTTTTGGGGACCGCCTCTGAAATTCAGGTTTCTTTCAGCTGTTGATTATAGAACCATCATAGCTTTGCTGACGGACAGGAGCAACGATCAGCGCCACCAAATTGCTGAAGCATTCCTAGCTTTTACAAAGCAGGTGAGGCTGGGAAGGGAAGAGTATCTCAGACAAGGGGGGATAGTAGATTCATAAGGAATTCCTGGGTACCTCCAGCTTAGACTACTGCCATCAGCTCTTTGTGGGGCTGCCTTTGGAGACTGTTCGGAAACTCTGTTGTGTCTGGGACACCATTGTGAAACTACCCATGGTTGAAAATATAAATGAGGGGTGGGAAGGATCTCACCTGTATTTAAAGGAGCCTCCTGAGAGGCTGCAGATTCCCTCTGCTTGTTCTTAAGGTCGATGTACTCTCTCCTCTGCTAGGACTTGAAGAAAACTTTGCAAGCAGCGGTGTCTGGTCACCTAGAGGGCATCATCGTGGGATTGCTGAGGCCGGCAGCTCAGTATGATGCCGATGAGATCAAAACAGCTCTGAAGGTAGAGCCTTTGACCTGCCCATAAAGGCCCGGCTTTATTTATAAATCTGTCCCTCCGCTGTTCTGATACAGGTTTTGGTGGCCCTGTCATCTTGAGCCTGCAGTAGCCTCTGAGTCTGAATCCAGATGTTTAAATATTTGCTCTTTACTTTTGTTCATTGATCTTTTATGTTTGTATTCTGCCTTTCTTCTAAGGAGCTGCGTGTGGCTCCTTAAAATGATGTTGGCTTTAAGATGATCTAAACAGTTTTTACTGGTATACTCTTTTAGATATACAGTACCATTTTAAACTATTGCTTCTACTATGAACACAGTTTCTAAACAGATGGCTGGCCCCATTTTTTTCCCAGGGCCCAGAAACTGACACTCTGACTGAAATCCTGTCCACCCGAACAAAACAGGAACTTCGAGAAATCCTGGATTTTTATGAACATGGTAAAAAAATAAAATTAAAAAAGCCTGTGACTTAAGGGAAGATTAAATTGGATGCAAGTGTTTTTATAAGGGCAATTTAGATGTGTGTTGGGGAGGGACTATTATTGAGTAAATATTATTGGGTGCTATTATGGGTGCTTGTGGATTACAACTCCCATCATCCCTCACCTCCAGTTATGCTGCCTGGAACTGATGGGTGTTGGAGTCCAGCAACATAGGCAGAAGACCTTTTCCATGTCAGATTTGGGTGGCTGGGATCCTTCAGGCGCAACCTTTTGCCTTTAATCTACACTCTTTACTTTCCTCACTTCTTTCCACCACCTCTAGATTTTAAGTCAGATCTGGAAAAAGACATCGCTTCAGAAACCACAGGCCATGCCAAAGACCTCCTGGTTGCCTTTATCAAGGTGAAAAGGGCTCCGCTGGAAGCCTTTCTCTTACGTCTTTCCGTACAAATCACACCCAGTAAATTTCTGTGAGTTGGTTGAAAGTTAGATGTAAAACTATGTGAATCCAAACAGGGATCCCATCAAAATTTGAACTCGGACCTAGAGGGAAACATGAATATTTGAACAAAATAAATAGGTGCCCATGATTAATCTTTCAGCAAAAAAATGTACTGCACTATATAACTGTGGAAATGGCAGATTCCATATTCAGAAGGGGTACTCCCAGCTATTAGGAAAAGGGACAAGATGCCTCTTCTAGGATCATGTTTCCCATCTGTGTCTTCCAGAAGTGTATTGTGGATCAAAGTTTAAAAAAAAATTGGAACAATTAATCATGAAGACTCAAGAGTTTGCTTAGTACGACCTCAAGTGCCTCACCTAAAAAGCAAAGGCGCCAACTTCTAGCTGCAGAATTCTTGTTCTCATCCATATGCAAATGCATTTCAGATAATCAAAAGGATCCAGCTCAAAATATTTACATGGGAGGCATGAGTCAAATTCAGGCCTCTTGCACACACTCTTTCTTAACTTTGGCATTGTAAATACTGCTGTTAAAGAATAAAAAAGCAAAGCTAAGTTCCTAATCCTCTTTGCTCACCTGCAGCCCGGTATAGATAGCTTTACTACTCAGTGAGCTAAGAACTGTAATTATTTAGACCAGCTAGCCAAATATTTACGACCTCAAGATTCTGCTAATCCATACCTGGGGGAAAAAAATTAAAAATTTAAACTTTTCTGCTCCTTCCTCCCCCTGTGGCAGGCTAACCGGGAAAAATATACTGGAGTCATTGATTATGTCCTGATAAAGCAAGATACAAAGGTGAGACACGATGAAGGATGTGGAAACGTGTCCACGGTTTATTGGTGGAGAATATTGTTGAATCGTGCCTGTCAGTTAATACTTGCTGTGTGTTTTAATTTGATATCAACAGTGCTGAGGAAATAGTAACCAGGGACAACCTGCATGCATAATTATGATGTCTAATACATTTATAAATCTCTGTGCAATTGTATAGAATGCATATATGCATATATATTTCTCTCTCTTGTTCTCTCCCTATACCGTATAAATATATTTATACAGGGAGAGAACGAGAGAGAGAAATATATATTTATGGAAATATTCCTGCTATGCAGCCTGGCTGTTCTTGCTCACAGGCCACCTGGGTGAGTCAACAAGGACAAAGTTGCCACGTAATTAAGTTTCAAGTGGTTCTGGGGCCAAGGTTAATATATATGGGGCCTGGTTCTGACTTGTCTGTGTTTGAATGGACTGTATTGGATGGCACTCGGCACGCGCCTCAGAGCTGCCTTGCTTTCCTTTCCTGTCCTGAAAGCTCAGCCTTGGCACTTCCAGTAGGTCCCGGGCGGAATCTCTGCTTGAGTTTCACACCCTGAACGGACTCGGTCGGACAGGTCTGTCGATGACTCGGAAGGCCGTGGGGCCGTTTATTCTGCTCTTCCTCAGAAACACCCCACAAATCAGGTTCCCCCCCCCCCAGGCTCTTGTGGACGACGGCCGTGACGGCGGTGCAGGCCAGCCGACGGGGCGTGAATGGATCCGGATCCTTACCCAGCGCAGCCCTGAGCATCTAAACAGGGGTAAAGGCCACGTTCGTGGTGCCTGAAGTGTGTGTGTGTGTGTCATGTATTATAAAGATGAATTGACAAAAGACCAGCACTTGAGAAATAGACTTTTTGGACTACAACTCCCAGAATCTCTGGGTATGGCGGGTGGCTGGGGGATGATGGAACCTGAAGTTCAAAGGAAGCTATTTCATGTTCTCAGAAGGGCTGCCGTTGACTCTTTCCTTTTTATAAAAACTCTCCCCAGTGTTCAGCGAGTACCGCAAGACGACCGGCTTCCCGATCGAAGAGGCTGTGGGGAAATACTTTCAGGGCGATCTGCAAAAGATGGTATTGACTTTGGGTGGGTAAGGATGTGGGATGATTTGCAGACCTGCAAAGGCCTCTGTGTGTGTGTGCGCGTGCGTGTCTGTTTTGATTGGGTGCAGAAGTTCAACTGGTGTAGCTCCTTGCATTTTCCCCATTTTCCTGCCTTGTCGAAGTTCTGTCTTGGTTCAGAGGCGCGGAAGGAGCTTTTTAACCAAGACAGAAAAGAAAAGGGATCAATTCTGATATAGTTTGAAATTATCTTCTTTTCCAGTCGCTCTTCTGCAAAACACGCCGCTCTATTTTGCCACCAAGCTCTACAACGCCATCAAGGTGAGCCTTTTTTCCACCCACCTGGACTTTCTGTCAGTTTCCCCCCCATTCCTTCCTTGGCCCTCCACTCAAGGTGGGGACGACAAACTCCATTACCCTTAGCTGTGGCCATGCTGGCTGGGATGATGGAGATTGTAATCCACAAGAGTTTAAGAGCCCATAAGTGATTCCTCCCTGGTTTTGAGGACTTTTCCACGGGTTGATTCACACATTCAGACTGCCTTAATAGTCATTGGGCAGCACCTCTCATTATCCCCCACCCACTCCTTAAAATCGAGTTTCCTAATCCATCAACATGGCCTTTTAAGGAACTCCAGTAAAACTACAAGCCTGTTTAAAATAAATAAATAATTTTTTTAAAAAAAGTTCACAGGCCTTTCCAGTGTCCAGAAATTGACTTTAAAAATATATAAATCCTTCTGGCTGGTGGAAGGTCACCCCTTCGCCTCTTCTGTTCTGTTCCCCCTTTTCACTCAAGGGTCCTGAAACCAGCCCCAGATCTGTGGCCCACATCCTGATTTCCCGCCGTGAAACCGACCTCCTGAGCATCCGGACGGAGTTCAAGAAGCGTTATGGGACCTCTCTCTATTCTTTCATCTCGGTAAGCGTCCCGGGCACTTGAGGGGGGGCTGGGTGATAGGGAAGGGGGGGGGGAAGAATCCCGATCTTGGGGGGGGGAACAGTATTGGGCTCTAAAGATCCCAGAAAGACTCTAACCCTTTCACTTTTTATAAAACTTCTCCCAGACAGAAACAAAAGGACACTACCAGGCAGCCTTGCTGGGTCTCTGCAGAGCAGAAGATCTGTAAGGTGCTCCCCCGTAACGTGCCTCCATGCGCAGAGGTAGTCTACCTCAGCATGCCAGCCAAGCTTTCCTTTCCCTCCCGAATATCCTACAACACCCTGAACCAAAAAGGACAAAGATTAACACATCACATGCAAAGCCTGGCTGGACCAGTTTGGCTGGTTTCTTCCTGTCGGCCAGTCTCTTGATGGTTCAGGAAGTTTTCAGAGGCACCTGCAAGGGGGTAATTTGTCAAGAAGGAACAGAAGGGTAGCGCCTCACTTTCTTGCTCAGTACCAAACTCAGGCAAAGAGGAGGCCTCGGGAAAAGGTCCCCGCTTGGAAAGGTGAGAAATAAAAAAAAGGATCTCTGAATCTGTGCAGAGTGCGGCCTCTTTCACCATGAAAGCCATCAACCCATCAACTTCGAAAGCAGGGCTACGTTCCAAAGCGACAACCGTTTGTCCACCCTCCGCCATCAGTCCACGTGATACGTCAGCAAAAAACTGACGGGTTAACGAAGCAGGTAAATGGTAAAATTGCAAAATCAAACAAATAAGAAAAACCCAGGCCAGCCCAGCGAAAACGGAGTGGCAAGGAGCATGTCAGAGAGGCGTTCTCTCCTCCCTGTCCCACAGGGTGGGAGGCATCTTCTGGTGCTATTTTAATGCCATTTCCCCTACTTTTGGTTCATTGTGGAATGCCTCTTCTCCGACCGCCTTAGAAGAGGCATTCCCTCTTTTTTCATCCCACAGGATGTGGAAGGATGCTTCTGCCATCTCCTTAACAGCTTCCCCTTCCTTGAGCGTGTGATGGGACGGATGCCTTTCCCCCTCCTGTCTGTAGAGGAGCATTATTATTATTTGCAAACCAGTGCTTTTGCAAATTTGGTCCTTATGGAGACATCACACCAGCATTCCCCCCCGCCGAAAAAAAAGCGTTTGCTTTTTAACTTCAGAAGTATTGTTTTATTCAAGTGAAATATAATGCAGATTTAATTAATTAATCAGCTCAAAACACATATGGTTAATCAATTTAAACTGAATTAATGGGGGTAGCAGCCCTAAAATGGAGCGCTACCCCCCAAAGTCTCCTTGGCAGTATTCCGAGAACCAGGCCCTTATTTGATTAATTTTGATGGATTTTTCAGAAATGCTTAATGTTTATATTTTCCTTTCAAAGTCTTTGTATTGGTTACTCTCTCTCTTCCTGGACAGTTCTGTTCACATTCTAACACTGATAAAATCCTCCATCCCCACAGTTACAACATCAAAAACTCAAATGACATTTAATTTTAGCTGGGAAGTCAGCTGTGTTCTAAGGGCCCTAGAATATGGAGCAGCTTTTTGTTATGCTATTTCCAAACATTATGAAATTTCATTACAACTGAAATTTTGCCCCTGGCAGATTAGTAGTTGTGATGGTTTCTCACCCTATGGTCTCCTCCAATGTCTGTACAGTGGTGCTTTGACTTATGAACCCCCTGACTTACAGCCATTTTGAGTTATGACCAGCTCCGGCTGCAAAATTTTGCTTCTACTTGCGACCGGAGCTTCCACTTACAAATAGAAAAAAGGCAAGGGAAAAAGGTGGGAAATTCAAATTTGTAACTATACGCAAGGCTGCTTCTTTGTAGCTCTTTCGCCCCAGCAGTTAGACAGTGTGCGGTGCTGTTTTCTGCTTTTAAAAAACTGTTCTGGGTGTTTATGCAGCGTGGATTTTGGGCGGGGGGTTATGTTTCTGTGCTGTGATGGGTCTTGGGGGTTTGGTTGTTTTTTTTTTGATCCCCCCATTTCTGATGGGTCTTCGGGGTTTGCTTTTCCCTGATTTCTGACCTGTCTTGCATGCTTCGCTTGCTTTTTGCATTGCTTTTCCCTGTTTCCGATCTGTCTTGTATGCTTTGCTTTTTGACTTGCTCTTTCTCCACTTCTGATTTATCTTGCATGCTCTGTTTGCTTTTCTTTTCTTCCCCCCTTTGGCCAGAAGGGATTAACTGCATTTCCGATGGGTCTTGGGGTGATTTTTTCTTTCAGCTGGAACGGATTAATTGCATTTCAATGGGAAATGATGCTTAGACTTACGACCATTTCAACTTATGACCATCTTCCTGAATCAATTAAGTTCGTAAGTCGAGGCACCACTGTATATCAGTTTCTCTTTCTCCTCTCCCTACATCCAAGTCCTTAAAATGCCACCACTGTATATCAGTTTCTCTTTCTCCTCTCCCTACACCCAAGTCCTCAAAATGCTTACTTGCCTTCACACTTTCCCAGCATCAGGGTCTTTTCCAGGGAGTCTTCTCTTCTCATGAGATGGCCAAAGTATTGGAGCCTCAGCTTCAGGATCTGTCCTTCCAGTGAGCACTCAGGGTTGATTTCCTTCAGAATGGATAGGTTTCTTCTTATCAGTTTCTCTTTCTCCTCTCCCTACACCCAAGTCCTCAAAATGCTTACTTGCCTTCACACTTTCCCAGCATCAGGGTCTTTTCCAGGGAGTCTTCTCTTCTCATGAGATGGCCAAAGTATTGGAGCCTCAGCTTCAGGATCTGTCCTTCCAGTGAGCACTCAGGGTTGATTTCCTTCAGAATGGATAGGTTTCTTCTCCTTGCAGTCCAGGGGACTCTCAAGAGCCTCCTCCAGCACCACAATTCAAAAGCATCAATTCTTCGGCAGTCAGCCTTCTTTAGGGTCCAGCTCTCACTTCCATTGTGAGCTTCCAAAACACTTAGAGACAGAAAAGGGGCGGCCTTTTTTGGTTGCTGTTGTAGGCCAGCCTTCTCTGCAAGGTGCTGGATGATAACTCCCATCACTCTAACCAGCTGGTGGAGAATGATGGGGGCTGTAGCCCACCACCTTACAGGGCACAAGCCCATGGCATCGAGGCTTAACATCAAATTAAATTCCAAATGGAGGTAAGCAGAAAAGAGTGGTTTTAATATTTTCAGCGGCCCATTTCTTTCCACCCGCTTCCCACTGGCTTCAACCACTGATCGGACAGAAGCGGGAGGCTCAGAATCGTGGCCTCTGGGTGGGAGCAGTCCGTCCCCACTGCTCCTCTTCCAGAGAGCTGGACAGATCAATCACACCGCTTATTCCCCCTCCCCCCCCCCCGCCGCCATGGGAAACGGAGGACAAGACCAGAGAGCAAAGCTTTATGGAAGCAACTTTTGGGGATTACAACTCTGAATGGACTCCAGAAAAGCAACTTTCCCAAGGCCTGTTTCGGAGGGGTGTGGATCCCTCAGGGCTCACCTTGCTGTGGGTGGCCACTGCTTCCCGTAAACGTCAGGAAAAAAGATCTGCTCTGAGATACAGGCCTGGTTGTCTCTATGCTTGGACTGACTTGGTGCAAGTGGGGGGTTCTCTCTCTCTCTCTCTCTCTGCGCCACCCTCACGCTGATATCCTCACCATCAGGTCCTCAACAAGGTCTGCCTCTGTCAGCTTAAAACAACCCAGCCGTGGGGTGGTTTGGTGCAGAAGGCAGGAAGAACGGAATGCCAGCCCCCCAAGGACGATCAGTGGGTTGTTAGCTGAACGTTAGCTTCCCTCGGTCCTTGTTAAAGTTTGATTTCAAGCCCGTCTTCTGCCGAATCCCAGAAACAGCAGCCCTGGAAAAGGGGGGGTGTTAACGGAATCGAGGCATGGTCTTCGCATCCGGTCCTGGAGGTTTTGGGGTGCTGGGAGGAGAAAAAGGATGCTCCAGCACCCCCCTCGGGGTCGGCTTTAGAGGACGATACAGTCTAAATCCTGCTTCTGCCGCTGCCGGCGCTCTCCAGAGGAGCGGGATGGTGGCGGGGGGCTTCTCCCCTGAAAAAGAGGTGGAAGGAAGGACGGGAGGGGAGGGAGAAAACAGAGAAATAAACGAGATTGCCTGGCATTGGCGTTTAAGGGCAAAAATGTGTAACACAGAAGCTTGGAATTAAAGGAGCTGTTTTAGCAGCAACGAGTGAGTAAACGTCCGTAGGGAACTTGGACCACCGACGGGCCCCAGTTCAGCGCTGGATGAGCAACAAGCCCAGCTTACAGATTTCAGGGGCTTTGATATCGCCTTCCCCAGAGCTGGGCCAAAGAGGGGAGGGGGCTGCCGCCCAGTCGGGCCAAGGCAACAGGGTGGGTGGGTGGTCTGTGTTTGAATCACGCTACCTGTGCTGCAGGGGCTGCGGTGGGAGGTGGGGGCGGCGGGAGCGGCTGCTGCTGCTGATATTCCTCCTGCTGCAGCTGCTGTGCCAGCTCCAGGTCGCTCAAAGCGGGCCCGCCCTGCTGCTGCTGGAGAGAGAGGGCAATCATGTAGTCCTGGGTAGAGGGAGGAACGCCAGAAGGGAGAGAGAGAGTCAGAGACCGGCGGTTCGACACCTAGCTGGGGAAGATTCACTCCCAGCAGTATTTCAGATATTCTGGAAAATCAGATCCAGTCTCTATCCCGGCAGCAGGAGTGGGGCGTTTCCCTTTTAAATCCTCCCCAACTCCTGGTCGAGGGGCGGGACTTGAGCAGTCAGCTGACTCCCTCTGACTATTTAAGGCAGCTGCGGGGAAGCCAGCCTCCATCATTCCTGGGGGTTCACATCTAAGTCAAAGAAGGTGTGTGTGGGGTCATCCCAGGCCAGCCTTTTTGGGGTCTCTCTTCCTGGGTGGACCCTGACCCAGAGGTGGGCCCAGAGGATATGGAGCCACACCAAGAGGGGGAGAAGAGGATGGGGAGGGACGGCAGGCATCCTGTCCCCTTTTAATGCAAAGGGGGAAACAGGTGGGAGCTCAGCCTGTTCGGATGCCTCTACGGACAGACAGGATGTCTCACGAACACAGGAAGAGGACAGAGTGGAAATTCCCAGGGCATCACCAATCTTGTCTCTGAGCAGCATTTCCGAGTGTCTCGGTGTGTCTTCTCTGAAGTTTCAGACGTGAGGCAGGCTCTGCCACCGGGCAGGGTGGGGTAATCCCTTTAGGCTGCAGGCTTGCATTTGGGTGGGTAGGTGGGTGGGTGGGGGGCTCCATACAGAACGCACGGAGCCTTCTGGTCCCTGCCACATCCCTGGTGCCTGCCCCACCATGCCCAGCTCTCCTGGGCCCTCCCCTCACCTGGTCCACCTGCCGCTGCTGCTGCTGCTCCTCCTCGGGGGATCCGCCAGCGGCCTCCGTGCCCAAGGCGTGGCTGAGGTGGAACTCGGCGTCGCAGAAGCAGCTGTCCCCGTCCACGTTGTGGAGGCTCTCCCACACCACTTGCTCCTCATGTAGGAAACCTTGGTCTGTCACCAGGAGGTACAGGTGGCTCTGGAAAGGGGGGAGGGAAACAAGGAGCTTGGATCGGCCGGGCTGGCTTCAGGATGGCCCAGGTCAGGAGGAGGGCCTTTCCCTTCTTGCCTTTGCTGCTTTTAGAATCCCAGAGCTGCAGGGGACACCCAAGGGCCATCCAGTCTGACCCCACCACCACCACCACCGGTGCCTGCCTCCACGGCTGAAGTATACACGACAGACTGCCTTCCAACCAACCACTGTGTTCGCTTTCCTCCCAAGATCCCAACAACCCTGTGAGGTACGCCAGGCTCAGGAAGAGAAGAGAGGCTGGCCCCAGGTCAGCCGGGGAGCTTCCAGCGGGAGGCGGGGGGAAGAGGACGAGGGCCCCCTGCCTGAAGCTCCCTGAAGTTTAAAAGAGGGCCAAAACGCAACCTCATCATCACCATCCCCTTAGTAGTATTCAATGCAGAATCTCTTGTTGGACCCGGCTGTTAAATTGGGGCCAATATGTTGGGTGTGACTGGTATTAATGGCAAGATTGCTTTGGGTCCCAGGAGCAGAACCTCCTCCTACGTAGACTCCCCCCTACCTTGTGCTTGATCATGGCACTGAAGTGGTTGTTCCGGAAAAAGACGCTGAGTTCTCCCTCTTTGACGGTGGCCGTGAGCTCACAGAGGCCGTGGTAGGTGAGCTGAGAAGCTGTCGATTCCAGAAACTGCTCTGCAATCAGACCTGGGGGGGACAACCGGGGGGGTGGGGAGAACGACAGGGCAGGCTGCGGTGAGGGAGGCCAGCACAGAAAATCCTCCGCGCAAGGCCACAGGTTCGGAAGTTTGTTCTGGAAAAGCCACCTCTTTCCTTTCCTTGCAACACGGTTTTGAAAAGTAACCCCATTTTTGTTACAATGTTGGGTTTTGTTGGTTTAAAAATTGATATCCACTGCACTGATAGTGTTTCATTACTTCCTGTTGTTTTCCTTTTGGAAGAAAACAAAAATCAGGACTGATCAAAAGGAGGCATCAGCTTGGGCTGTGTGTGAAAAGTAACATTTGAAAGTAACCAGAACTCACAACACGTAGACAGACATTCTACCTTGGGGTGCGGAACATGGACAGAAACCACACCAGGCCTGATGAAGAGACCTGCAGGTCTCAAAAGCTTGCACATAACTTGGTGCTTCTTTTCTTTCTTTCCTATTTTGCTAGAAGCTAAAAATATATATAGTTGGAATAAACTTTGGTCCTACTTGTTGTGTTATTTTTGAAACTATGTATTTCCCATACCTTTGTTACCCTTAAAATAGTAGCAGTTACAGGTAACTGGGTAAACCTTATTAATTTCTAATTTCTGCTGCAGGGAAATGAGGGTTGAGAATACAGACAGAGAAAGAGATGCAGAAAATACGGTTCAATCCGGTGTTCCTTTCTCATCTGGCGGGAGAGGTCAAGGGGGAATGGAAGCGGAGGTGCAAGGCCTCCAGATGTCCAGGACAAAGATGACGAGAAGCTTCAGAGGTGAGAAGCACAACTCAGGAAAGAAGGTTTCTAGTCCACATTGAGACAAGAGGTTCACTGAGTAAACTCTTAACTGGCCAGACACACTCTCTGGCTGTTCTACCTTACAAGATTGGTGGGTATAACAGGATCTGAATGAGTGGGGGATCTGAGGCCAGGCTGGGATGCTAATTAGGGACTGACCTCTGCTTATTTTATTTTATTTATATCCCGCCTATCTAGTCATGGTGGACTACTCTAGGCAGCCAATTAGGGACTGACCTCTGTGTCACAGCCAGCAGATCTGAACTGTTTGAAAAATAAAAAAAACTCCAAAGAGGCAAGGTTTACCTTCAGTCACCAGGTTAGGGTCACTGGAGTGTTTACAGGTGATAATTTTCTCCACCAGCTGGTTATAGCTCAACTTGCCAACAGACTGGGCCACGTCCGGTATCTGGGGTGTAAAGAAAGCAAGGTTCTGAAATGGACTGTGGGCCACAAGGGTGGGGGTGTAGATCAGAGAGAGGCGGGTTCAAATCCCTGCCGGCCAAGAAGCTCATCGGTCAAGCTTGACTCAATCTGGATGCTTTTCCATCCATTCTGCTTTTACAGGGTTAGTGGGAGGATTTTAGTAGAGGAAATCTCTCGGAAAAGAGGTGAGGGTTATGGAAAACGAAATAAAAACATGGCACGTAATGTATTTGGATCCTGATGGCCCCTTCAAAAGGGGACGGCAGTGAGTTCCACAATTTCTAGCTCTGAAAAACTCAAGCAGTCAAACCCCAGAAATTTCCAACTCTTAACAAACGCAAAGGGGAAAGGGGGGTCTCACCTGAGGGTCCACCAGCCACCCATGATAAAGAGGGACGTTAAGGAGATCAAAGACGATGCACTCAGGGGTGTACTCGAAATCGGAGACTCCGGTAAACCTTACATTCACGTCCAGCCCCGTGGAGAGTTTGGGCAAAACCATCATGGCGTCGTTGACGTTCTGTTCCCAGCACAGGAGAGAGAAAAGAAGGGTGTGCTAGGATTTTTTTTAAAAAGGAGAACACGGTGTGGGGGGAGCGCGGACTGCTTGGATTTGGGGAAAGGAAGCCACCGGGGCTACTTTCTAGGAAACATTTCTACAGCACTCCATGCTTGTCGTTGGTGAGAATGAATGGCACAGATAGACTGCTCCTGGACGGAAGGCTCACCTAAGCTGGCATCGCTAAACTATGCCTGCAAAAACCAAGGGCACAAGAATGGATTTGCTGGTTTCGGCCAAATGTCCGACTTGTCCAATGTCCTGTTTTGCGCCCAGCTTTGTGTTTGCCTCCAGTGCCCCCAAGGGAAAAATAAAAGCCATCTTCGGAAAAAGGAAAAGGGAGAACGGAACTGACCTGCTGGAAATTCAGCTGCAGGGCTTCGGTCTGCTCTTGGGGTTTGATAGATAAAATGCAATCGCCTGAGAAGGAAAGAAAATATCTATTTTTTTTTATTAAACATCAAGGCTATTTATTATTAGGATAGTTTTCCAAAGCACCGGTGACAGCAAATACGAAAGATGACTCTTTTGACACCTTGAAGACTGAAATGTTTTATTTTCGTAAATTCAATCTGTTTTGTTTGGCAAATTTTCACTGGATTGCCAACTGCCCGCACTGGATGTGCCTGAAGCGGTGAGCTGCCATCACGAAAGCTTAGGCCCAATGAATTTCGACCACCTCTGAGGTGCCACCAGATGACCTCGTTTGTGCTTTTAATTAGGGGGGAAACATACAATCTGCAATAATAATGCAGACAGTACAACCAAATTACATCAAGCCACCTAAAAATAAATGAACGTTAGTCTTCATTTCAGCTGGAAGTCAAGAATAGGCTGCTTTGCCTAAACAGAGCTGAAAACCCTCATATTTGGTGGGCAAACACAGGCATGAAGACTAGAAAAGTCCTGGATTAAACAGTCTAGTGGTTTGTTGGACATGAGCTTCATTCAGCAAATTGATTTGGAGCAATGGAGGGTGGGTAGCACAGGCAGAAAGATAACCCAGGTGTTTTATCGGCTTGTCTTTTTTAGATCTGCATGCAGATTGCTACTTTTAGGCCTTCCTTCCTTCCTTCTCTAAAGCCATCTCCTGTTTTCTCTTAGTAAAACAGAACTGCAGATTGGCATGCATGGAAGTCCACTCTAGAGGCTTCTGCAAATAAGTTTAGGGATTCTTTTTCCTCCTGCACAATCCCTCCTATAATTTCCTAAGCAATATAAAGTTGTTTCTTTCACCAAGACCCCTTTTTCTGTCTTATTACCAGCTACCAAACCAATAATTTCTGTTCAGGGGCCACATAATAATCAGCAAGGGTGAGGGAGAGGTTTGGAGGTCCTCCTTCAGGACCACTAGATTTCCAGGAGCAAGGGTGGCACCACCTAAGTCCCTGGGAAATAACAAACCTGCGAGGTCGATCCCTGTCGCTTACCTAGGTGAGCCATCAGCTCCTCGGAGGAAATCACTTCCTTCTGCGGGGGCAGCTTCACCTGGGCGTAGAGCGAAAGGACGAATGTTTAGTCTCAGTCAGGGTTGGGTAGGTTATTTTTAGAAGCTATTGGTTACACTTACAGTTACAAAGCCTTCAGAATAATTTGCTGCAGTGACAGTTACACTTAAAAAAAGAGTAAATACTTGTTATTCGGACAAACCGAATAAATCACTTATAATTTGTTTGTTTGTTAATACATCAGAATGCTACAAGCTCTAGCTTGCCTCGTCCCTTTTCCGTCAACTTCCCCAGGGGAAGACAGACTGCCTCTAAACCTGGAGGTTCTATCGACTTACCTTCCACTGCAAAAACAGGATGTTCATGATGGCCAGGAGCGGGCAGGGTCCGTTCTCACTCTGGGTGATGATCGGCGTCCTCTCCCCTTTCCAGCTGATCCACTTCACGCAGTAGAAGTCCGGCGGTTCAGGCTGGTTGGCCGGAGAAGACCGAGGCTTGCCGGCCGCCTCTTGGGCAGCCGGATCAGGGGGTTCGGAGGGGCCGCTGCCGGAGCCACTGGCCACTGGCTTGGCGATGGGAACATCTGGCCGAGGTTCAGGGCTCCCTAGTGGGTCACCCGCTCCTCCTGCAGACTCTTCAAGGGCTCCAGAGTCTGCCCCTTGGGATCCCAGAGACTCCATAATTTTTTCCTCCGAGCCACTGTCTTCTTTTAAAGCGCTCTCCTTGCAACTTCCGAGGGGAGTTTCCTCCCCTGCGGGCATCTCGGCTGCATCTTGGTCCTGCCCATTTCCGACAGGGACGTCGGAAACGGCCTCCGTTCCTGAAACGGCCTCCTTCACCCCTTCCCCCTGGGCAGCCCCGATCAGCTGGGGGTTCGCCGATTCCTTTTCCCCGTGTCCTCCGGTGGATTCTTTGGGCTCCATTTATGGGAGGGCGCTCTCCCCCCTCCTCCGAGGTTTCTCTTAGGACCCTTCGTCTGATCGTTCACCTCAAGAAAAAACCTCCGAGATGGATTTCTTTTGCTCTGGCAAGAAATCTACACGGATCTCTCCTTGTGCTTTCTGCTGAACTTTGAATTCCTCGCTTGCCGGTTTCCTGGCTCCGCTTCTCAAGAGGAAAACCGATGCCAGCTTTGGCAAAAGGAAGCTCTCCTCTCCCTGCTCTGAAGAGATCGCTCAACAGCCTCACCTCAGACTACCACCTCCCGTCCTCTCAAAAACAGGTAATGGTCGTGAGACCCAATCTGAATTTTCTCCGTGAAATAATGGCAACGAGGCCAAGTCTCCTATATAACTGGCCTGAAGCCTCCCTAGCTTTTGCTCTCTGAGGTTTTCCTTGCCTAATTTAAAAGCTGCCCTAAATGCAAGGTAAAAATTGTATTAAAATGTCTTTTTGCTGGCTCAGGAGCTCGTTTTCATTAGGCACTGCTGAAAACATTGATGCCAAAAAGCAATCCTTATTATTATTATTATTATTATTTTAAATGATCCGTTCTTCTTCTATTTGCCAGTATCAGGTAGCGACAGATTCTGCCAACTCCTCGTCTTCTTTCTTTCTTTCTTTGTTAACTTTAAATGCAGTTATTTAACATCCCGGAAGCCCAATCTCCTGCTGCCTCCATGGGAGCAGATGTGCATGTATTCACACTGGATAATTATCCTCAGACTTCACCTTTTTTTAAAAGAAGATTTCCCCCCTCTCCTTAAAAAAAGGAATATAAAACAAAATTATAATTTTTTTAAAAAAATCCCCACTCCCGATTGTAAAATAAAAGTGGTTTATTCTCAGAAAAAAATGATAGAAAGATGTGAAAAACACAAAGATTTGCCTCTGTAGGTAATTCTTTTAAAGCTCTTTTTAAAAAGAAAAATAAGCACGTATTCTTCTTAAACGCCCTGGGGTGTTAAGATGTATATATTTTTTCTCTCTTTGAACTTGATTTGTAGGGTTTGCCTTCTGCTCCTCAGTCTGTCCTTTCTTTTTCCCTTTTAGCTTACCCAAAGAGAAGGGAGGCAGACAGTCCATATCTTGGTTTCATCTGGCGTCGGTTTTTCCTTCCACACCCACACATTCCTGGATATTTCTTTTCCTCCCCTCCTGTGGAGATTCAGCGGGGCAGTGCCAGCTTCTATTTTGAACAGCCTGAGAGGTTTTGTTATTTTTTTACATCATCTGGGCGAGAGAGTCCTGGAAAAAGACACAAAGAAAGGAAAAAGAGGACCGATGCCTGGGTTTCCACCCATCGTGTTGACCTGTCTAACTCAGCTTCCATGAAAAAGAAAAAAAAGAAAAAGGGCAATGGACGGATATTCCCCCAAAGACTAAAACATTATTTGGGATAAATACAGGACCTCTTTCTGTCTAGTGGAAGGAAAATACAAAGCCCACAGGGCTTGGGTTCCTACAGAGCTAGGAACCAGCTCCTTTTAGGAGAGAAAAAGGGCATTGGTATGATAAAAGGGACCTGCAGTGAATGAGCAGAGGGCTGTCTGGACACACCGGCCGACAAATCCTGTCGTTTTTACGAGACGGAAGTTGTTGAGCCAGTCTTTTAAAGGAGAAAAACAGCCACCTGAAGGTCACAGCCTGACTCAGCATGAGGTGGGAGCCGTGGTTAATCGTTTGCGTTCCTTCGGACAAACTCAAGGTGGCTCCCTCCCTCCCTACTTTTTTCCAACAACAACCTTCAGAGGTAGGACAACACAACAGCCACAAAGTCACCCAGGAAGTTTCCTGATTTCACCAGATCCTTAACCTCGGTCTTCAACTCCTGATCTGTCACTAACCACGATCCTACAACGGCTATTCATGCTATTCATGTTTTTACTACCAATATTGTGGTTAGGGTTGCCTTCCTCATCCTGGCAGCTCCCAACCTTGTAAATCTTATTATTTCTGTGTTTATTTATTTATTTATTAAATTTTTATACCGCATCACCTTGTGGTCTTGCCAACGACTCTGGAAGGTGTCCGGCAATAAGACAAAGTTTATTTATTTATTATATTTTTATACCACATCACCTCGTGGCCTTGCCAACGACTCTGGGAGGTGTCCGGCAATAAAATAAACAGACAAAGAAAAGCCAAAATCCCACCCAAACCAAAAATATAAAACAAAAACTGTATCTACAGCAAAACAACAGATCTAAAAATGAAGATGACAGCGACAGACGAGAAAGGAGAGAGAGCTTAATTGTTCAAATAAAACTAAATAACTGAGCATTATAAAGAGAGATCGCAAAAGACCTCCCAGAAGAGCATAGTTTTAATGTGCTTGGGTATGCTCGTGCCATGTTCGCTGGGGATGATGGGAACTGGGGTGTGGATGCTGGGTAAACATGTCAGGCTGGGTCTTTGAGACTTTGAGCCACATGTTCATTTGCTGGGGGAATTTGGGGGGCCGACACACTCTCTCAAAGTAACCTACCTCACAGGGCTGTCGTGCGAGAATCAAATACATGTCTCCATGCATTTTGCTGTGATAATATTTATATTTGGAAGTGAACAGAGCTGTTCCCAACAACTAGTTCAGAAAGGGTGCCAACTAGGGGATTCAGGAGTCTGTAGTCCCTAATTTTCGCCAGCTCTGCGCTTTGATAGCTAATATTTCTCATTTGAACTACCGGTAGTTTGTTTCCATAAATGGATTTAGTTCTCTTTCTTTAAGCCAATTTTAGGGGTCAAATTACCTGCAACTTTAGTTGGATATAATCCTAATCATTCCCCTCTCCCTAATTTTGGAGGCTGTAGTACTTGTATTATTATTTTTCTTACTAATCATTGCAACATTTATTAGCATTAAGTTCTACCTGTACTTCCTCGGGCAACTGTGTGTATTTGTGGATTGGTATGAGCCAGAACAAAGGATGACAAAAAATGGAATTACTTATAAACACTTATTATTTCCTCCCAGGGGCTCACGGTGGTATAGAGAGCTCCCCTCTTTCCCACCCTGTCTTTCCAGCGCCAACCTTGCGAGGTAGGTTCAGGCTAGGAAAGTGCCTGGCCTAAGATTATATATGACATCTCAGCATCGTGACAGGAAGACCACATTAGCTTAAAACTAGCGCCTGGGTTCCCCCCCCCCCCAATATCTGGATTTCTCTCTAGCCTCCAGTGGGAAAACCAGCAAATCTGGATGGACCTGAGCGTTTCGCTTGAGACAAGCAGAGTATGGGATCAAGATTGGGGGGGAAGAGAAGAAGGGAGCTCTGAAAGAGGAGGCTGGAAAGCAAGGGTGTGAAAAGCACATAAAAGCAAAGAGAGAGAGAGAGAAAGGAAAGAAGAACAGAAAATTGCTTCTCGGAAAGTCCTGCAAGGAAAGAGAGGAATTCCAAAGCAGGATCCAGCTCCTCGCCGGGTGAGCTTTCCTCCGCTTCTCTCGCTCCAGTGTGGACGCAGCCGATCCGGATCTACCTGTTCCAGATGTAAGACGACAACTTTTGACTGTGTGTGCGTGTCTGTACACATACCTTCTCTACATCTGTTTTCTTCCTCCTTGGTCCTTCCTGATGTTTGTTAGGTTTTGGAAATTTCTTCTTCTTGTTGTTGTTCTCTTTCTTCTCTCTCTCTTTTTCCTTCCTCCCTTCTTTTCCTCTGCCAGCAAATTAACAGAAGGAAACACACTATCCATAGACTTGTGGGTTTTTTTTTTAACTTGTCGTCTTCTTTGGGCTCTTCTTCCCACGTTCCCACAGAGACATCTATAGGACTGGAGGATTTACGACATGGTGCCAGGGTGTGGAGATGTGATGTCCTAGGAAAAAGAAAGAAAAGAAAGGAGAACTTGGCGGCGGGCGGGGGGAGAATCAAATAAAAATAAATCAGTACTGTATCTGGTTGGGTCAGTCTCGTGTATGTTTTTCCCACATTGCTACTAGCAACTTTAATATATATATAATAATTTAATATATAAATAATAAAATTTATATATATTAATATAACACCTGATTGTGCTTTTCTCTCGCTCTCTCTGGAATGAGGTAGGCTCAATGAAACTTGAGTTATATTAGGGATTAGATTTAGAGCCAAAGAAGACGAAAGCGGGATTCGAACCCTTTAAGGCTCCTTGGGTGCGCCCAACACTGCGCGCAAGCGCTTTCACCGACGGCTCCACCCCTCCCCGCGGCCATCTCAAGAAATTGCGAGCGGCGTGCCGTGCGCATGTGCGTCGGGCGGGCCGCTTTTCCTTTTCTGCCACGATTGATGACGTGTCCGAGAAGGGCGGCGTGCCCCTCCCGCCTCGGCCGCGGGTGACGTCACCACGCACGGAGCAACCGCCTAAAAACAGTCCGTTTCAAACCTCTGAGGTAAAAGAAAGAGGCGCCACCGGCCGAAGGCGAAGGGGGTGGGGGAGGGGAAATTAAGGCGAACTCGTGGCGCTCCTCAGGCCCCGTTCACAAGCACGACGCTACACGTATCACAAGCACAACACGGGCCCCGTCCCAACCCACGCCCTCTGGGGCTTCTAGCCCGGCCGCCTGTGAGGAGCTGGCCGGGTCCCAGGGAGGCGGCGGCGGCGGCGGCCTCAACTTTGGCCAGGCGAGGAGGAGGAGGAGGAGGAGGAGGAGGTGGTGGTGGTGGTAATAATCCCGTGTCTTCCTCGCCTCAACGCCGCCGAGGCGGTTAAAGTCGCCCTTCCCGCTCCGGCCTGGCCATGGAGAGCTTCCTGGGAGGCTGCGGAGCCGCCCTTCAGGTATAATATCCCCCCCCCCCACTCCCGTAAAACAAGAGGCTGAGGGGAACTGGCTCCGGTTCGGGGAGGAAGAAAGAGATCCCTATTTTTACTTTTTTATTTTTATACAGTATATGCCGCGCGCGAATATGTCACTCTCCCTTGAGAAGAGGGACGGGTCGAGAGGGGAAATCATCCTTATCGATAACCGTGGAATCGGATGATTATTTTAGCTGATACCGCCACGATCCCTTTATGGGCCGGTGGGGGGGGAGGGGGAGAAACCGATAGGCATAGAAATCCATACGAGAGGACGTGTGAGGGGAGAAAAGTCGAAGGAACCCCCCCCCCCGGATCGCCGCATCTTTATGATATAAACTTAAAAGGATGGAATCCGTGTTCAGTGGATGGGTGTTGGTGTTTGGTTCATCTATACATGCAGGTTTCCATCAACGTGTCTTGTGTGCCTTGGAGCGAATAGCCACAAAAGTGACCCCTTGCAGCAGGATGGTTATTTCCACCCATTTCATCTTTCTCCTCCTTTGAACTAGAAGTGAAGGAAGAAGAACAACCGGGGTCAAAATTTGGAAATGAATATCCATAGAGTATTAAAAGAATTAACCGGATTGCATTTTTCTGCATAACCCCCCCCCCTTTGAAGGCAGATATCGGCATTTCTGATCTGACACCAGGAGGCAAGCATGCCTTGCCATAATATTTAATATTTGGTTCATTGATCGCTCCGAATGGCAGCCCAGAAGTCCAATAAATAAATAACAAGTAATAATAAATAGCTTGTCCTGATTACACAAGTACATTTGTGTGGTCTCTCCATGGCTTTTGGAAAAATAAATTCAACTTTGTATTTACCTGCCCTCACCACTCATTGAACAGGTACATGGCTGTTTATGACCTTAGTGTGAGTGAAGCCAGACGGTCTGCAATCCAATTAATGGTCTCTGGTTTTAAATATTCTTGTGGCCTTTTAAAAAACAGGAACAGTTAATTGGATTGTGCAACATCTGGCTTTCCTTGATTCTGTCATCTCTGTTAGTGTTCTGAACATGTGCGCTGAATGGAGGGATTAAGATCCTGCCACTTCACTTGAAGAAGCGGATTGCACAATTTTGAATGTTGACTCATCCCAGAAAAACGATTGCAGCCTTTGCTCTTGACTGCTTATATTTTTGCAATTTGCCCATCAACTGCCCATTTTACAGGCAGGGAGGACTGAGGGTGGGGAAGTAGCCTCTCTCTGTGAAATGGCTGTGCAGCAAACTCAGGTTCCACAAATTATCCATTGGATGTGATCACCCATCAACTGGGTAGGATGTTTTGATAACAACAACAATAATAACAAGAACAGTACAGTATTTGTACCCAGATCGAGAAATAAACATTTTTTTGTCTGCTTGGTGAGAACATTGGTAAGAAACATGTCTGGCCCCTCCCTTGTTTACTTTGGCCTGATCCTTGCTGAGATGTGACCCCCATCTATCCATCCCAAATCAGAATTTGGAACCTGGGATTAGAAAAGTTTCCCTACCTCTGCTTTTTCAAGCTTCTTTCTCTTTTGAGCCCTTTTACCTAAACCCCACCTTTTCTTTCATGGTTTGACCAGAACTTGCTTTTAACTTGAACAAAGCTAAAGCAATTCATGTCTCTGGCTGAAACATTAATTGTTTTCTGTTGTTTTGAGGGGTTGTTCTGCCGCTCCTTGTGTCTTTGTCTAATAATTGCCTTGCTTGTTGATCTTGTTAATTTTAACTGTGGCGGTGTTCAGTAGATTGGATTGAATAGACCGGATTATTTTTAAATGGTTAGTAATTTTCGTAGGAGTTGCTCACTTGCTATGGGTCCTGTGTAGCAGAAAGCTCCTTCTGTATAAATTCTAAAATCACATAAATGCTGTTGTTTGTATTTCTGTTGGCAACAGTGAGACTGTTAAACCCCTTAGGGCAGGGAATCTTTGTCTTGGGCTTGGTGTTATTCTTCACACACTTTGGCCATCAAAATTAAAAACAAAATAAAAATAAAACATAAAAATAAAAGAACAGATAAAAATGTGACGACACCTTAAAGATTAACTACTATATTTTTTAATGTGAGCTTTCATGGACAAGTTCACTTTCTCACACATAAGAGGTACTGTACAGCTAATAAATTTTCAGAGACAAAAGCACTTCCTTGAGTTGGTGACACACAGAGTAACATCTAGGATCATGAATATGGGTGTGGTGTGTATGTAATATTTATTTATTTATTTCAGTTTAGTATACTGCTCCTATTAGTACCACAATGCTACTCTGGGCAGGTCACAATAAAATAGACAGTTGAATAATTAGTATAATAAAGCTGTAAACAATCATGTAAGGGGAAAGAGGTTTTGTTTCTCTTAACAATCACCATTTTCATTTCCATCTCCAAAATAATACGTGTGTGTGTGTGTGTAAGCCATCTGCACCAGGCACATTGTCAAAGCCAGACAGCGGCATCTGTGCGTTTACAATCATCTTTATGTTTTGGGTGGTTGTTTTCCTCTTCCCGCTCCTTCGTTTTGAAAACACCATCTCATGATCATTCAGTGCCTTTGAAAAACAGCACCAAGGAAATGAATATGGCTAGTTAGCAACGCCCAGGTGGTGCCCACTGAGCATGTGAATCAAAGCTGATCTTGGTGATGTTGGGAGGGTGAAAGCTTGCCCCAAGCTTAGAGAAGATGGCTCAGGATTGGCTAGTAACTGTGTCTCAAAAAAGAGAGGAAGGTTTCATTCTCTGAGCTGGTTAACGTTGTGAACAAGAAGCCCTGATCGGCAGAAGGTGCAACGTGCACCTCTTTGCCATTTTGGGGGCACCTGGAACCTGCTATATTTTTGGAGAGCTAAAACTGTGAACAATTTCATATTGTTCATGCTAGTTGAAACTGAGCTATAGGTGAGAACATCTGGAGGGCCAATGTTTCCCCACCTCCATCGTAGCTGTCCCAAGAGCATGTCCAGGTTTAAGTGGAGCAGGAATTGGAAGAGGAAATGGGTGGGATTGGGCAACAGAAAGAGACTGGGGGGCAAAGCTTGTGCCGTGGAAATAGTATGGAGGTAGGAAAGGAGGGGGAAATGAAGGGGGAGACACTGGGGGGCAAAGCTTGTGCCGTGGAAATACTGTAGTATGGAGGTAGGAAAGGAGGGGAAAATGAAGGGGGAGATGTCTCCATAGATCGTTTTCTGGCTAAGATGAAGGCAGGGATTTTGTTCTGGATGCAAGCAGGATGAGGAAAGCCAGGGCGAGGATGTGAGTTCAAGGTGAGGTGAATTTGTATGTACACAAGCAGGATGAGGAAAGCCAGGGCGAGGATGTGAGTTCAAGGTGAGGTGAATGTGTATGTATATGTTTATTGGGAATGGGACCGAGGGTATCCCTCTGTGCAGTGGGTGCTGCATGGGACAGGATTGCAGAGGAGTTGTATGTTTCCTTGCCTCGAAAAGAGAAGTCTTAAGGATGGGTCCCTCCCTCTCTTTCTGCCCTAGAGGAGGAGTAAAGAAGTGAATGGCCTGCACGGATTCAATTTGGCAATGATGGTGCCTTGGCAAAGTTTTTTCTGCTTCCCTCCTCCCTTCACCTTGAGCAAATATGGGCCTGGATCTGCTGATGGTGCAGCTTCTCCTGCCCTTCCCACAACATTTTTGAAACTCGGAGATGAGCATCATGAGGGTGTGATTAATTGTCTCCTGTCCCCCCGATGAGTTATGAATCTGTGGTCTCCCGTTTCTGCCTCATCAGCAGCCTTCAGTCATAGCCTCAGTAATTCCTCTTTCTGTGTCATGTCCATCCCCCTTTTTGCAGAAGTAACAGTAAGGGAAGGAGAGGAAGAAATTGCCTTTACAGTAGTTTGCTTCTTGTTTCAGGTGGGCAGGGAAGTCAAAGGTGAAGGGGAGTCCAAATTTTTCACGGTTCCATTTGGGGGCCAAAGTGGGTCCTACACAGCAGACACAGCAGACCATCCCCGTTTTGGTGAAGCTCCTTGGATTCAAGATGGGGCTCTGTTTGCACAGAAGCACCCCCTGGAGAGGAGTTTGGTTTGATCTGCTGTGACTCTTTTTGTATTCTTTTCTCCACACATTTTCCTTCTCGTAATACTGGAAGGTGTTTGTTGGTAGGGATGGACGGGGTCCACACAGGGTGTTTTGATTATTTGAAAGAGTATGAGTTCCAGGCCAAACCAGATGTTTGCTGAGGTACATGTTGTGATGATCCCCAGATGACTGCTGAAAAAAAAAAACATTGCATGTGCAAATTGTGTCTCAGAAGAAGCATCTGTGAAGTTAGTCATCTGATCCCTTGACTCTGTCCTTCCCAGCAACTAATACATTCATTGTTGAAAAATTATAGGATGTCCCACAACCAACCGTATCCATTTTCAATATACATAGAAAATTAGGTAAGGTTTATAAACTACCATATTTATCATCGCCTGGGATCACTAAATTCAGATCCTGATGAAACACTGCTTGCTGTTGTTATGGACACTGTTTTTGACTTGCCTTCTGGCTGTCTCCACCAAATCTTTAACGATTGCGCCGGTTCCACATACGGGAAAACTGAGCTACTGGCAACTGACCGGGAAGAGGGTTGTTTGTAAAAATAGCCTTCAACAAGGTAGAACTAACACTGTATGTTAAGAGCGAGAGCCTGCAAAACATGACCTTTCTCCCCCTTTAGCTTGCTTTTAATGCTGAGATGAGTTACTTCTAAAAAGGCAGTTATTTCTCCAAGGCCCTTGAGTGCCTTTTAGTGCAAATGGCTTACGCTTGTCTTTTCATCTGATTTTTTAAAAACTTTCGTAATTTTAATTTCCCTTTTACCTCTGATCCATCTGCTCCTCTTTTGTACACTCGCCCAGCTACATCGCACACGTTAGGTCTGCTTCCGTAAAATCAATTTATCAGGGGCTGGGTTATCAGTTGAGTCGTTTAGCAAATGGATCCTGGCATTTGACGGTAGCTGGGAAACCAGGACTGCCTGGTAATACATAGGTTTGTAGAGGAAAGCTAGAGGCAGAGGGGGAAAAAGCTTTCTCGATCTCCCAAGTGGCCTGCAAAATGGAGCCAGCTTGGAAAACTGAGCTGATACGCTGGCCTGCTTCTTGACAGCATCCTCTTCCCAACCCTCGTGTATTAGTGGCCATCGAACATTCGCCTTATAATCAGAACCAGTTTGTATATTCAGAAAGAGACAGACCCAAACATGGAAGAGTTTGGTGAATAGCATGAGTTTCTGCGTGATCAAATTCAAGATTGGGCAGAACCTTTGTTTTCATACTGAAAAGTGACAGGCAGGGGGAGGAGGACCTTGTGCTCTCTAGAACCCTGCATGAGGCAAAGATAGTACAAAACAGAAGGCGGAGGATTTGGACCGGATATGGCACCTCTTGCGTTTGAAACCAGACTTCAGGTGCTAGTTTGCTGGTCCCACGTGAGACTAGAGGCATTACACAGGCCAATGCAGAGTCTTTACCATTCCCAAGAAGGGTCTTGTGGAATCCTGAAGCTTAACCAGGTCTCTTTGTCTTGAGTGGTTTGTGGTGTTGAGCTCATTTCTTCCGTTGTGGTGCAGCCTCTCCTTGTACGATAAAAAAGTTGCACCAGCCTATCGTGGGCAAGAGTCGGAGACTTTCCATTGAGGTGAACATCCTTGGCTTGTCTTTGTTACGCATTCCCCCCTTTCGTTGTGATGGCTGACCTTAGGTGGTCGGCTGCTCTGGATAGAGAATGAGCCCCTGATAAGGGTGGCATTTGTAAACGGCTGAAATAGTTGCAGCCAAGTGGGTGGGTGCTCTCCACGGGGGTTGGACTACAACTCCCATGATCACCATGCAGCGTGGTGATAGAACATGCAGTCCAATACACCCAACAGTGCTGGCTGGGAATCCATTCCAGGCTTTAGTGTCTCCCCCCCCCCTTTACAGGAGTTGTCCAAAGCAGTGGTTCTTAACCTTTGTTACTCGGATGTTTTTGAACTGCAGCTCCCAGAAACCCCAGTCAGGACAGCTGGTGGTGAAGGCTTCTGGGAGTTGCAGTCCAAAACTCCTGAGTAACCCAAGGTTAAGAACCAGTGGTCCAAAGTACTTCACCTAGTTTTGGAGGAGGAGCTTCAGCACTTTGGAGAGCTCCTGCGAAATGCTATGGAGTAAAACCTGGAATGGATTCTTAAAAAACCCCAAATTGGAATCAGCCCCAGCTGCCACCAGGGAGGCTGCCGGGTTTTGTTGTCATGGGCCCTTCGGTTGCATCTGACGTGATGGTGACCCCAGTAGATTTTTTTCAAGGAACATGAGAAATACAAGGAATTATTTTCCCAGTACCAGCCCTGCCCTCCTAGGGAGTTTCCATGGCCAAACATGAATTTGAACTCAGGTCTCCTGAGTCCTGTGGCCGTCGCTTTATTCATTATATATCACACTGGCTCTTGGGTGGTGGTGGCTAATTTTACTCTGTAGGGGAAACAGATATCATCCCCCTTTTATGGATGCTAGTGGGAAGCAAAGAGGCTCACCAAGAGAGAAGGAGCAACTTGATTGCTGAGCTTTCCTGGCTGGGCCAAGATTTGGATCCGGCTTTTCCAGCAGACCAGAGATTCGTCCTCAGTCCAATTTCAGCAGTGATGAAAGGTTGCAACTTCTGTTGTAGGTCACCAAGAACATCCTCTTTTGTCTCAGAAACCCTAGATGCCCCCCTCCTTTGAAAATGAGGCTTCTTCCACCCAGTGTGCTCCTGGCTACACCGGCGTCTCTCGGTGTAAGTACGGCCTTACTGGAAAATGAGAAGAGGTGATGGTCTGGTTTCCAGACTCAACGCCTGCTGCTTTCAGCAGTGGTACAGAAGAAGGGAGGAACTCTTAGCTGATCCTGCTTCCCCCCCCCCCACATGGTTCCAGAAGGTCTCCTTTATGTATTGATTAAAATTTCAGGACTCTGGATTTGTTTTAAGGTGCTTTGTGTGCTTCCAAAAGCAGGCTGTGAAAGTAACAAGTTACAAGTAATGTAGTTATCTCTATCACATTGTCTTTTGGGGTAACATAAAGTCTCATAAAGTCACATTTTAAAATGATAAGCAGGGACAGAATTGCTTTTTTGACATTATAATGAATAACAACAACAGGCTATTTTTCAGAAACAATATTATGAGTAACAGGAATTTCCCCCCAAAAAATACACTTTCTATATCGGCCCGAGCAGCACCTGAACCCCTTTCCCATCTTGCATCAAATCTGTTCTAATGACTGTGCCGTTCCCCTGTGTCTCCTGTGGCTACCCACATCCCAGCTCCTGTGGCCCCGTCTGAACACATGCTGCTTAAAACAAGGCAACAGGCCAGCGAAAGGAACTGAGGGATCCAGGGTGGCAGGCTAGGAAAATTTATGGCCTCAAATCATTTGTGGAAATGCAGATTCTAGGTTTAATCATACACTGGCCTGGCCTGAAAATGTCATCTCTTCCCTTGTTCTTTTTCATATTCTTGCCAGGAGCATCTCCGGACAAACCAGAAAGTCCATGTGGTGTTGGGAAACGAGGCTTGTGACCTGGACTCCATGGTATCTGCTTTGGCCCTCGCCTGCTTCTTTGCAAAGGTAGGCCCCTTGGCTTTGCCCCTTTGGCTTCTGTGCGTTTTGATGCTTCTGTCATGGCATTGCCCAAGTGGTCATAGCCTTTCCCTTTGCCTCCTGTCCATGCCTGTTTCTAGGCCTTGCAGTGTTTGGGGGATGGGGGAGACCTTTTGCATTTTGGGTGGTCCTTACAGACTCCTGGGAGGTCCTGGGACCAGAAAATTGAGGTGGAGATCTATCAAAGGGACCTACCTCACTTTATATTGTTAAAGACTAAAAGGCTGCGTTTTGAAAAATAAAATTAAGATTTTAGAGATGGGTTTGCAGCCTGCCGTTCTGGGTGCTTTGTCTACACCACCCTGGCCATCACTGACTGGGCAAGACAAGTGATACATCGTCTCACAACCAAGGCCTGACTTTTCATGACTGCCATGTGACACCATACAGACTTCTTGGGAAGCAAAGGCAGCCTTCATTCCAGTCCTTAACATCCCCCGCCTGGACTTCCCTCTGCGTACGGAGAGCACCTTCCTTCTCAAAGAGCAGCAGATCCCTGAGAGCTCCCTTGTTTTCCGGGATGAGATTGACCTTCACGCCCTGCACCAAGCAGGCCTCCTTTCTTTGACGCTGGTTGACCACCACGTCCTGCCAAGGTAGGAGGAAATATGGAGAAAGAGATAAGGAGATGATCTGTGGGAGTCAGGCAAACCTATCTTTTTACCTAAATTATCACCATCATCATTGCTGTGTTTATTGGTGTGCTGTTTTTTTAATAGCGAAGCCACATTCACAGTGGCGTATAGTAACATCAGAACAAAGTCGCCTAATACAAAACGACAGCAACCTGTATTACTCTACATAGTTTCCCCCTGAATCCCTTTGTTTTTTAGCCGATCCTTCTCCAGATGTTCAGGAAATGGGTGCAGGTACAGCAGATGGCCACAAGGAGGAGCATTTCTAGGCTTTTGATTCTGGCCCCTCTCTCAGCTAACCCTGGTGCACAGAAGCCCTCCCCCTCGTGGTCGTGTGGTGCAACTGCAGGCATCCCTGGTTGAACCTTACCTTTGATGTAGTCGTGATGAGCCCTGTTTGCAGGTGTTGTGTACGGGTGTGTGTATTTGTGAAGTCCAAATGTGGCATTTAGTCATACTGGGGTGAAAATTTACTATCCACCTTCCCCCCCATCTTTTTGCAGTAGGGACAGAGCTCTTGAGGAGGCAGTTACGGAAGTGATAGACCATCGGCCCCTGGAGCTGCAGAGAGGCCCTTCCTGTCCAGTCACAGCCGAGCTAGTGGGCTCATGTGCCACTCTAGTGACCGAAAGGATCCTGCAGCATCCAACACAGGTTCTGGACAGACAGACGGCCGCTCTTCTGCACGGTGAGGATGGCAGCTTCCAGCAAATCAAGCCCATGGCTCGTGTGCCCATTGTGTTTGGTAGGGCAAAAGGCCCAGCATTCCAGATGGCCTCATTTCAGACGGACCGGCTCAGGTGGCCTGGCTTGGGGTGGGCCAGGTCTCTTTTTCAGGAAAGAGTCTTTTGCAGCCTGGAGTAAACCAGCCCCGTGGGATTGAAGAGATAGTCTCGTCCGAACTGCCCCACGTCTTCCCTGTGACTTCTGGTCTTTAGGACTGGAAAGGCAATTGCAGCTCTGAACCTATATCTTTTTTGTATTGGGGGTGTTTTGTATCACTCTGTTGATGTGGTTCTTTGCTGGTTTTACAGGTACGATCGTGCTAGATTGTGTCAACATGGCGCCGGAAGCAGGCAAAGTGACTCCGAAGGACACCCATTACGTCTCCCTTCTGGAATCAAAATTCCCTGATCTGCCTTCAAGAAGCACCATCTTTGAGGCTCTGCAGAAAGCCAAGTTTGATGTTTCAGGTAATTTTGCTCCCTGGACAATGAAGGCCAGAGTTCTGGAAGACCTTTGGTGACCCAAAGCAGGGGTGGTTTCCTTGGTGGGGGAGAGGTCTAGGCTAATTATAATAGAAGCATTTGCTCCAGCCCTGGATTTTCCCCTTTAGATCATGGCATAAAGATAAACAGAAATCCTGTACTCGGAGCTGAGGAGACTTGCAGGAAGGTAGTGCTTCTGGAGTTTTGTAGAAAAGGTGGTGGTGGTTCTGTGTCATCAAGTCGATCCCCAAATTGTGGCTGCCCTAAGGGTGTTTTCCAGGCATGTGAGATGTGTAAAGGGTGGTTTACCACTGCCGTCCCATTCATGGTGAGCTTCCATGACTGAACCAGGATTTGAATCGTGATCTCCTGAGCCCTAGTCCAAAATGACATCCACAGCAGAGAAGGGGAATAAATAGGAAAACAGACAACAAACTGACCATCAGAAGACGTATGTGCATGAGATAGTGACTGGGCTGTTCAGCAGTTGGTTGACCTTTCCCCTCACCCTCGCATCTGCCGCTGCCCCATCCCTGAGGAAACCACCCGTGTCAGTGGTAGAAGTCTGAAAACCCTGGTGTGGTGGGGAAAGGCCGTGCTTTTCTTCCTCTTTCCGTTCTGCATCGCTTAAACTGACAAACCTCTTCCTAATTTGGTCTCCCGCCCTCGCAGGCCTCACCACGGACCAGATGCTGCGGAAGGACCTGAAGACCCTCTCTGGGAAAGAGGCCACCATTGCCATCAGCGCCATCTATGTCAGTCTGCAGGTGAGTGCAGAAGTAGGGGCAATATGGGCCCCACAGAGACGAAATCCTCCAGGCTTTGGGATTCTGCTTTCAAGCAAAATTCAGCCCCAGTTTACAGGATAGGAGTCCAGAGTGCGCTTACCGCGTTCGTCTACTTGTGCAGTTGTGTGTGAGAAAAACAGATCCTTAAAAGTTGAGAATTGATTCTAGCAGAAGATTTTGTGGGCTAGAATGTTTAATTTTTTCTACTTGGGTATGAAAGAGAGGCCATGGTTTCCTATTTAAATAGTTACAGATTAGTGGGAAAATATTGCCATCATTTGTGTTACCATCCATAGCCACTATTATGACTGGGCACACTTTTGATCGTCCTTAGTTGTGTTTTGAGCGTGCCCTTTGAATTTAGTATTTGCAGTTTTTTTGCCTCTATCCCACGTCTCCAGATGGAGAGATTCACAGACACACCAGAGTGCTTCTCTTGATACTGTCAGACTGCAACTCCCATCAGCCCTCACCCGTGAAGCCATTGGTGAGAACTTATGGGAATCGTAATCTGATAACTTCCCACAAGTTGCCCACACACATTCCCACAAACACACAACGGGCCATCTTGGAATAGCACTTTGTTCACTTTGACCGCGTGTTTCTCTGACTGACTTCTCCCGCCTTCCTGTCCATCCAGGCCTTCTTGTCGCGTCCCGGGTTGGAGCAGGAGCTGCACACCTTCTGCCGCCGGAGGGGCTTCGCCGCCCTGCTTGCCATGACCATCTCCTTCAAGGAGCGCAACGTGCCCTTCAGGCAACTGGCTGTCTACAGCCCTCACGCGGAGCTCCAGGCTGCAGTGAGTTGACGCGCGCACGCTGGTGCAGAGAAAGAAGGGTCTCCCTAGAAATCATGAGATCCTTTCCTGTTTCTCAGGCCTTTTTTCAGTGCGGTTTGATCTCTTATGGTCTCTGCCAGGGTTTTGAGAAGATTCATAGCTTAGTGGCAGAACATTCTGTTCCATAAAATAGGTCCTGGGTTCAATTCCTGAGTAACTCCCAGACAGAAGGATCTGTTTTCCCCACAGACCCCAGGCAGCTGCTGCCAGCCAGAGTTGACAGTACTAGTTCTCTGAGTAATATAAATCTGCTACCAGTGGAAGGTGGCGGGATTGAACTTGGGAACTTCTATACACAGAGAATGGCTCTTCTTGTTGTGTTATATTCCATCCCTTGATTTTTTTTCCATCAAGAAACTTCCAGTAAACTTCCATGGAAACTCTATATTCCAAAAAATGTAGCTTGAATACCACTGCTCGCCCTTTTCCCACCCCCAGAAATGGATGGGCACACCCGTGTGTTTCCAAGGAATGCTTTTCCTGTTCTGAGGATAGAGTGGCAGGGAGTCCCACAGTCACAGGGGAGAAATGGACACAGTGATTGAAATCTGGCTGCAGTCAGGAAGCCAGCTGTTTCCTTTACAGTGCAAAAAAAAGCTTGTGCCTTTTGTCTTCCTCTGCAGCCCCATGCACCTATCTTGAACACAGAACCTGACTAAACTAGGAAGTCTCGAATTAGGCATAGTTTCCTGATTCATCCAAACTGGGAAGCAACAGCGAACCAGTTCTGGAACCAGCAGGAAAGATTTAGCCACAGTTTTGAATTTTGCTCAACAAAGCCTTCTCTAACCAGATAGATCTGGTATGTGCTGGACTATATCTCCCATCAAACCATAGCTAACCGTGCTGTCTCTAGGGGATGATGGGGGTTGTAATTCACCCCATTTGGAAAGGACTAGGTTGGACATACCTGTTCCCCCCCCCAAAAAAAAAACATTTCTCAGCTTGTTAGGAAGCTGCTGATGCTGGTCCTCTTCCTGGTTTAGGTAAACCTGGAAAGCATGTTTAATTAGAGGCTTCTAGGACTAATTGTGGCCCATAGGAAGGGGTTCCGTGTGCAAGCAGAAGGCTTCTACATAGCTTACTGTAAAAAGATGAGAGAGCAGTGCTCTGAATTAGCACAACGTGCCTGGTTTGTTGACTGCGGGGCCCCACACGGCCCGTCCTTTTTTGGCTGTGCCGGGTGCAGAGTTCCTGGTGCCATCATATCAGCTGTGCTACAAGGGGCTTTGTTATGGCAACCGCCCTGCGGTCACGAGGGTCTTCTCAAGAGGCCACTCCGCTCTTTTTAGGAAGGCATTTTGATAAGCGTGTGTTCGAGATATTTATAGTGCATGTACAAGTAAAGTACTTTTTAAAAAGTTTTGTTTACGAAGTGCGACTCAGGACAGCAAGCCAAAGGAGACTGCAGTGGCCAGAGGCCGGAGGGATGAGGGATGTGTGGCTACCCCCGCCCCCCCTGCCCCTGAACAGCTGTCTTTGGACAAGCGACATCCCTTTCCATTGGCTGTTCTGTCTGGGACTGATAGAGGTTGTAGTCCCATGACATCTGGAGGGCCTGACATTTCCAGTCTCTCATTTTGGACAAAAGAGAAATAAAGAGTTTTCAGAATTCTTTGGGGTGAAAAATGGCACTTGTCTCTTGTCTCCCTGCACTTGGAGGGAAGACGGATTTCACAGCTCGGTCTGTTAGCCACAAATAATAACTCCTACCCGTCTGGCAGTGCTGAGGTCGTGTCCCATGCCGTTCCCTGCCCTTCCTTGGAGGGGCTCTGACCAAACGGGGACAGCTCCCCACAGCCGCCGCCGTTCGGCATCTCCTCCCCACCCAGACCCTCTACGCTTCCTCCTTCCCAGATCTTCTGGGTTGCATTCGCTGTGGGTGGGGTGGGGGGTGAGGTGACCCTCATGCAGGGGGAGGCAGCGCCGCTTGCTCGCTCGCTCGCTCACGGGTCTCCACGTGCCCAGAGAGAATTGTGTCGGCTGCTTTGAGAAGAAGCGAGGAGGGATGTGTACGCAGGCGCCCCTGCCGGAGCCTTCGTCACTCATTAACCACGGTCAAAGGTTTCTGAAACCGCCAGCTAACGAAGCCGCCTGCCTGCCAGCGGGTGATGGAGATGGAGGGGGGGCGGCCTTGAGCAGGGAGGGTCAGAGACCACCCCAGTCAGGGTAACTTCTGCCAGACTAGGGTTGTCTCCACCACCAGACTGATGGGAGGTAAGTGAAATCTTTGCAGGGTGGGGGGGGGACGATCTTTTCTCCCCCTTCCCTTGTTGTATCTTTGTTCCCTCCTCCTCGCCTTTCAAGAGGTGTTTTTGCCTCTGTCCATCTGATGCATTGGTTTTGCACAAGCTGACACTAACGTACGCCGGTGGGTTTCTGGCATCCGTTTTCTCGCTTCCTCTATAATTTTTAGTTTAATGCTTTTGCCTGACCTTATTTTATTTTAATGTTGCTTCATTCTGAAGCTTTCTCCTTAGCCGTAGGAACTAGTGGCTCCAGTAGTATGTTAGGACCAGTTTGCAAGGCACTGGGACTGTGTATGCTCCCCCTCACACACAGTTGTGCTTCTTTTTTTAAAGGGTGTGTGTCTAGTAACAATGGTCTGAATTTCAAGCTGCAGTATCTGGCTGTCTGATTGGAATCTAAGGGAATCTCTCTCCCCCTTCTAGTCATCCCCCCCCAATAGTCAAGTTACCAGTCCTCAGCCTTTGCTGAAGTTTTGGCTCTTTAAAAAAAAGTGAATACTTAGTATCTGGAGAACTGGGGTGCGTGTCTGTGTCGTTTACAGAATGACCTTTAGCAAAGGTGGGAGAGGTGTTTCCTTTTACAGACTGAGAGAACAATCTTCACTTACCCCACACTCACACACAAACTCCTTGGCCCATTCTCTCTCATCTCACCTTTTGCTGTTTTCCCTGATCTGTCTTCTGTCATTTTGTAGAGATCAAAAACTGCAAGAAAAGGAGGGATGGCAAAATATTAGTGGCCCTTCTTATAGTCCTGTATCCCATGATCTGCCTGCTTTTCAAACTACAGTACTGTCTGTCATTGTTCTCCACTTTTTCTTTTTCTTTTCCTTTTCTCTTGATGTTTCCTGTTCTTTATTTTTTGTTGATGCCTCAGTGTTGTTACTGTAAACATACCGACTGGGCTGATCCCCTTCAAATGTTCTGGAGAAAGGCCTTTGCATTCTGGGAAAGGCGTTCCAGGTGGGGTTAGATTTCTTTTGTGAATGTTTAAATCTTTGTTCACAAATTGTTAAATAGGTGTCTGTCCTCTGGACAGTGGTATAGTAGAATAGTAACAGAATGAGTTCCATTTGGCCAGCGAGTTGATTAAACCTGCATATACATTTTTTTAAAATGCTGTGTACCAGAAACGTGTCTTTTTTAAAAAGGAGGAATAGCTGTGTAGTCTTTAGCAGCAAAAATAAGGAAGAGTTTTGTGCCCTTGTTGATGAATCCATTACTGATAGCATGATATTTCTTGGACTCTAGCCTGCTTCAGGGAGGAATGAGCAGGAAGAGCCATCCTCAGCAAGAAGAGACAGGCATGTGTTTGTATACAGGATATGCACACATGTGTGTATATATATCTCTTTTAGAACAGATAGAGAAAAATATAATAATATAAATTAATAATAGCGAACAAGGCCAAAAGCAGTGAAATGCAAGAAGCCTAGTCGTTGACCATTCAAGTTAAATATATGCTGATTAACGACCAAGCATGCACAGTTGCTGTGATAACACAATCTTCTTTGCATTGCTGGGTTAATTCACTCAGTGAAACACAGGAAACCCTTATCTCTTATCTGTTCTAAAAGAGACAGAATCAGAAGCCTCTAAGTTCTTCCCCAGCACTTTGAGGCTGGAGACTTCCCTTAAAATCCTTTCGTCATAGAAAACTGTTCATCAGCAGTGGATGTATATGGAATTTGCTTGTCAAGTGAAGGTTTGCAGTTTGTACGACTCATAAAGCAGGTTCTGGCCTCCCAAAATTTATGCCAAAGTAAATTTGTTGGTCTTTAACTGGTAGCCCAACAATGTAATCGAACCAAGTAATCAAACACGTCAGGCTCTGTTTAGCACCGAGGGTGTTGCTGGTGTCTGCTTGCTTTAGAGCTGGGATGATGAGTTTTAAACAAGACGTTTGGCATCCAAATTTTACTAGGGTCACAAATTTACCCTTCGCTCAAACTCTGAAACCCATCAATTAATCAATAATAAGGATTTTGGAACAACTAAGAAGAACAGGAGAGCAAAGCAGCGCATGCTGGCCTCTGCCGGCCTTTCTCCTGGTGAAAAGAACTTCAGCGTTTACAGGGCAGCTGGAAAGACGGTGTCTCCATCGGCCCTTCTTTGCCGAATACCAAGGAGGCCACTCCGTTGGGCTTTATTTTTAGCCATGCCTGACTGAACAGGAAGTCTCCTCACATCTGCCGGTGGGAAGGTCCCTTCCAGGACAGAGCAGCTGCCGTTTGGGGTGGAGGGCGGGCTTGGCTTTGCCGCCTCTCCGCCAGTTGCTGCTGCCGGGCGTCCCTTGGGCTCTGCTCCGTCTTCCTTTGAGGTGGTTTGGGGAAGCTCTGCTCTGGGGGTCCTCCTCATCCACTGGAATATCTGGGGTGGGGGGCAAGAACAGGACCTTCTTGAGTTGGCATCCGTGCGCTGGAAAGAAGCTTCTTGGGAAAGCCCATCAGTGTCTTTTAAAATTCAGAGGATGTTTTTTAAAATAGGCTTGGATTTTATTTAAAAAAACTAAACCACTGGTGAAGCCACCTTTGCTCAACTTACAATCTTTATTTGCTCTGTTGAGATGATATGTGCAGACTTTTTTTAACCTTTGCTCAACTTACAATCTTTATTTGCTCTGTTGAGATATTTGTAGACTTTTTTTAATGCAACAAAGCACCTCTGAAGCACTTCACACAAAGAAAAGAGAAATACTTTACCTTTTCAGGGGAGAGATTGAGTACATGGGGGGAGGGGTGGGAATCTGGCCTGGGGTGTTGCTGTAGCAGTAGCTGGTCATCATGCTTGCCATTAAGGCAAGAAAAACTGGTTTTGACCACTTGGAGGAACAGGTTAGGGCCTTTGTTCTTGTCCCTTGGGGTCAGTTTACAGCCCTTCTCTTCTTCAAGCCTTTTATGGCAAGGTGAAGTTTTGGTTTGGGCTGGTTTGGGTGCAGGGCAGCCTCCTTGTTTCGACCAGATGCTTCCAAAGTCAGCCTCATCATGACAATGTCCAGCCGCTGGTAATGGCTGGAAGAGGAGGAGAGAGGAAGTGGAAGGAGAAGAAGAGGAAAATCTCTGGTCGACATCAGTTTGGCCAGAGGTCTTCCCACTGCCTGCCTGAAGCGTAAGCTGGTCTTGGGAGAAGGTGGCATGCTTTTTTAATTCACTTTTTCCTCCTGCCGCTTTTACTGGTGTCTTCAGTGCCTCCCATGAGCCTGGGAGGACCATCCTTGACTGGAGTGAGTCCTCCTACGGGGTGCCCAGCACGCCCCTCCCTCCTCCGTCCTCATCTGACTTCCCTCTTTCTGGCAAGGGCTAAAAAAAGGCCTTTTTAACAGCAGCAGCCACAGCCCTGGAGGCTGCAGAGCTGGTGGTGCGAACGAGAACTCTCCTGGGCGCCGGTCACAGCGGGCCGCTCCTCTCGGATCCAGGTGGGTGGGGGGTGGGAGGGAGTGGCTGAAGGAGGTGTAGAGAGGCCACGATACCTGCGTTCTGAAATCCGTATATTGGGGACAAGGTGTTGCCACAATATGGATATGGGGTCTGTCCCCGTCCCCACTGCAATCAAAGCTACCTCTGCTTTTTGTATGACGTGCACGGTTTGAGGAGAAACATGGGTTTGGGAGTGAGAGCAAGGAAGAAAACATCTTGGAAAGGTGGTGTTTTTTCTTTCCCTCCTTTCTCTCCTGAAAACCCTGGTGTGTCCTGTTCTCAGGACAAACTCACACTCAGCGTGGCCGACCCCCTCCTGCTTTGCACCCTACAGCCTCGTTAGCTGTGGACGACGGGGGGGGGGAGTTGTTGTCCAGCACCTCTGGAGTGGAGGGTATTGAGTTGGGGAAGAGGTGGCTTCACAGCCCCCGAGGGAGCCCTGGAGTCCCTTCCCCGTTCACAGAGGCCGCTGAATCCTATACTGTACGGGCCTGCTAAACGAAGGAATGCCCTCTTCCCGCCAGAGAGTGGATGAGTGTCCCCGACCTGCACAGGACAAAAGACCTGGACAAGGGTCTTTTTTTCTCTCTCTAGCCTGTTCTAACATTTGCGACTCCGAACCCCAGAGATCCGTACCATATCCGTAACTTTGACTCTCATTGTGAAATGTGGACCTTCATCCGGGAGAGCCCTCACCTTTCCCTGCAGCTGTAACACCCTCGGGCATTTTGTGTCCCCCTCTCTTCCAGGTGTCCCAAGCCTTGGAGCGCTCCAGCGACCCCTCCCTTGACCTGTCGCCCCGAGAGAGCCCTTCTCCTGCCATCCGCGCCTACGATCAGGGCAACGCCGTCGCCTCTCGCAAGAAGGTCCTTCCGGTCATCCAGGCCTTCCTGAGCGTGTGGGACCGAGGCGGCCTGGCCGGCACTGACATGCAGCCAGAGGCCACCGACCGAGACCGCAAGATGAGAGCGGATCCCTCCGGGGCCGCCGGCCGTGATCCGGAGCTCGGCAGAGACCCAAAGGACCCAGCAAAGTCCCATCATTTGGGGGACGACTTAGTGGACGACGACGCCCCTCTGCCGCCCACCCCGATGAACAGCCTGGTCGACGAGTGCCCCCTCGACCGGGGCCTCCCCAAGCTCTCCGCCGAGGCTGTCTTTGAACGGTTCAACCGCATCGCGGTGGTGCGCTCCTCCACGGAAGAGAGCCCGGAGAAGAAGTGACGCCGCGGGCGGGCCGGACGCCTCCGAGTTTAGGGGAGCTTTCTGGAGGGTCTTGTAATTGCGTGTGTGCATGTGCGTGTGTGTGTGTGTGTGTGTGTGTGTGTAAGGAAAGAAACACCCTATGCTTGGGTGTAGTGAAACACACAGTACATTTCCAGACCCAGTTTATATGTCACCACACTGCAGCTGACCACAATGGGAAGCAGGGGGAGCATTGTTTGTGCTGCGGACAACTTCCCGCAGCATTTCTCAGACTAGGACGATGCTCTTGGACATGACCTCGGTTGGTGACCCAAAGGAGAGCAGCCTCTGGAATGATGAAGGCACCGCTGACACCGTGACTGTCATGGACCCAGTTTCCTCTGGCTGTAGACTCCAGATGGGGTGGATCGGTCGTACGAGTCAGGGCAGGAGAACAGGCTGGTAGAAGTGGGTCAGCCTGGAGGCAGAAATCTGGACCTCCGAGAAGGGGTGGATGGGTGGACGAGAGACGGCTTTGCTTGTCATTTGATCCCAGGTACAGTAGATGCCAGCCGGGTCCTGCCTAGAATATGCGGCAGGATATTCTGTAGAACCGTTTGATCCACAAGGCCAAACCTGCAACCTTGCTAAAAGGGGGAGATTGTCTGCTCAAGAGAAGTGGGTGATAGATGGGGCCCGGGGAGAATTAAGCCAGAGACTGGCAGTGCTCTTTCGGTAACTGCAAGGGATTCCAAGAGCAGCATCCTTTCCCACAATGGGGGAGCACTAGCCTTACACCTGGGGGGTCAGAACAGTCCAGCAGCCATTTTGGACTTTCTTAAAGAAAAAGGGGGAGAAATGAGGCCGTTCTCCTCCACCCTCCGTGCCTTAGAGCCGATTTTGCCCCAGGGTCCAGAGGACGTTTCTGTCCATCGGTGGCCCTCCCAGATTTTCCCCATCCATTGGGTGATGAAAGATGGAACAGAGACGTCATGATTCTTCAGCGCTGTCTCCAGAAGGCCTGCGTCTGGAGGTGCCCCAGGACTTCAGACAAAAGCAGCTGCTTGGCTCGAGCTGTGACGGGCTGGACAGTGTGTGTGAGCGCCGACAGGGAAGGGGGCAAAGACGCGGGGGGGCTCCCGGGGCTCCCAAGGGACAGCGATGGGTCTCCAGGCCCGTCCTTTGGGGCTGTGTCATCTGAAGGAGAGAGTGGCGCCCTTTGACCCTCTTTGACCTGGCCTGACCCGAGAAACGTGTCGGATCTGCCGCTTTTTTCGTGCAGACTCGACAGACTCTAAAGGACTTTGAGAGCTTAACGGGTGACAAATGTAGGGCCATTAAAATCTGGTTTCTTTGGGGGCAATATGACTAAAACCTTTGGATACTTTCTGGATCACCTTGAGGGTTACAAGTTTCTTCTCATGGACTGATTAAACCTGGGCCTGAGTTTCTGACACGGTGTGTTTGCGTGTATCTCAAGGGGAGGGTTTGAAAGTGATTTAACATGCACGGCGTAAATAAAAAGAATATACACAACCTGTTACCTAAAGATCTGGTCTCTTTTACTGATAATGTAGTGAGGTCTGTATCTCCTGTTTCCTTTGCAAGCGTGCCAGAGGTGAGTTCCTGCTGAATTTCCTACTGTAGAAATTACAAGCATGTACAAACTACCCTTTTAAAAACACTCAAGAGACCAAACACCTTTCCAGCAAACCTATCCATGTTGAATATTGGAACTGTGCCGCTCTTCATATGCACATATATTTCCTGGAGATCTAGTTGCTCAGGGAGGTGTCTGGTACATGTGGTGTACTAGTTTTCTAACTCTGGGGATGTTTCATGTTCTGTGTGTGTGTATCCAGGAGCAAGTGGGAAAGATCTCAGTTGACTCCAGAGCCTCTGAAACTCCCTCCCTGCTGTCAGTTGATCCAGTCGCGAAAGAATATTAAAGACCCATGTTAATAGGCAGCCCCGATGCAGGAAAGTGGGGTGTGTCAAATGAGAAGGGACCCCTTGGCCCTAGAAGAGGCCCTTAGAAAACGGTGAGGCTCTGAGGTTTACCTCATTGTTTGCGTTTGTGTATTTATTTTATGTCCCCTAGCAGGCCCTGAGATAGCAGGGTGGAAAATTAAATGTTTGAGTTTGGAGAACCAACAGTAAATACACGGAATGCCTGACTGTTTAGCAACTATCTCCAAATCCAGCAGTTCCCGTTCTGGGCATTGCTGATTTTGGAGAATCCCACACTGAATTGGGAGGGGCAAAGACAACAGATGGACGGGAAGAGGGATCCCGCCGTCTTGGTTATGTTCTTTCCGGCAGGGTGCACAAAACAGGGCTCGTTGGGTGCATTTTCTCCAATCCCATTTCTGGTTCAACTGTTGAGCTGTAAATGCATTTCAAAAGTGGGGCTGCAGCTTGAGGATCTGTTCCAACAGAGAGAAAGAAGGGGGAATGGGAGAGAAGGCTCTCGGTTTGGCATCTTGTGCTACCTTGCAGAGAAGTGAGTTTTATTTAGGTTTCCAAGAAGCTTAGCCGATTCCAAGGCATTCGTTTGAAGGAGCAGGGCTTCTGTTTGTCCAGAAAGCTCATGTCCATCGTGCGTGTTCAGTTTTCATATGCTCCCCTGTCTTTTAAAGGGTAGGTTGATGGGGCTGCCTCATCAACCTGCCATCAGAGGACAGCATTGGTGCCGAAAATGAGAACCCATCCGACCAAACCAAAGGGTCCGGCAGGCCCTGGGGTCTCCTGCTTCCCCTGGGGGCCAGCCAAACGCCTGTCCCTCATCTGCTCTGTTCGCCTCTTAAGGGGTCTGTTGGGTCCCTCCAGGGCAGCCCACCCGCCGGCTGGGCCCCTTCCTGGCCTCCCCCCATTCCGTCCTCCACCCTCGCTCTTTAGAAGTTCAGGAATCCCACAGGCGCCAACCCAGATGCTCCCCGAGCCCCAAAGGAACTATGGGGTAGCAGCGTCCTGCTAGGACTTTCCCCCACATCATGAGGGGCGAGGCCGGAGGGGGAAAGGAGGAGAACTGATGGGTAAGGAAAGGCATTTAAGATAATGTACAGACTTCTTTAAAACTCTTAGTGCGTCTCTTCTTTTTCTCCCACATGGTGCCGGCTGCCAATAATAATGTACAGACTTCTTTAAAACTCTTAGCGCGTCTCTTCCAGGCTTCCTTTTGCGTTCTGCCACGGCGTTAGGACCCAGCCGTCCGTCACCGGTTCTGCTTAAGTATTCATGCTGAAAAACCAGTTTGGGACAAGTCTGGGCCGTACACCGGCTCTGCAGGACACCCAGCGTTGCTGCCTGTCTGATTCTGGTTCGTCCACAGTGCAGTGGCGATCCCTGTCTTTCTTCCGGCCCAGATGGGCTCTCAGGCGGAGGATGGGGCCCTCCTTCCATCCGGAAGGTGAGTCGCAGGGTTTGGCCTCGGGGTCCTTGGGCCCCTGTTCCCCTTTTGCACGGCGGTGTTGGTGTTGGTGTTGAAATCCTCACTCGTTCTGGCTTCTGAATAATAAACAGGAGTCCAGAATTCTTCCTGCCTGTTTCTGGGCTCAGTTGGAGTCAAATCCCTCTTTGGGTTATGTTCCTTGATGCCACTGCGGATGCTGGAATCAGTGAAAGGGAGGACTGGCCGGCTCCCCAAAGAGGTATCGCTTCGTGTGTGAGCGAAAGGCGTCAACGAGTTGGTGTAGGTTTAGGACCTCGGGATGTTTTTCATGCTGACATCATCCTACAATTCCCGTGAGACTCAGCCTGAGTGGCCGTGGGTCTAATTCTGGGTGCTGGGGTCCAAACGAGCTCAAAGCTCAGGGGTGAAGACTACCCTGGGCTCTCTAAAGGGGTTGGGTTTAATCCTGCAAAGTGCCCCTCGGACCCTGCGTTGAAGCCTTGACGGTAAGGGGTTCGTTTTGTAGCTTCGAGGTTGGGCCTTGTAAGACTTTGGAAGAGGCGGTTAATTCTGCTCTGGATCTCATTGGGATCCTGAACAAGGAAGCCCTCCGTAGAATTCAGTGGATCCAAGACAGTGCTTGTTCTGACGCGTGTTGAACTGACGGGATATTTCCGTCGTGTGGAATTTCTGATCTCTAGTGCATCACCTCTTTGTGGCCCTAAAGGTGTTGTTGAAATGTGCTCCTGATCCATTGAACAGGGTCACCAAATCCTGTAGGGACGAGGAAAAGTTGTTGTCTTTCAACACTGGGGAGGCCGCCAATGGGCAAGCCCAGATCCATGACGAATCAAACAGGCCTCTTGCAGTGCTGGACGAGAGGCCTGCCCGGCCCCGTATCCTGCTCCCCACGGCAGCCCTCCAAGTGCCCCCGATGGGAGGCCCACAGGCAGGAGAGAAAAGAAATAGCTGCCTTTGGCTCATTGCTGCTGGAATTCAAAGATAGTCTGCCCCTGTATAGGAGGTTCCACAGTCATCTCGGTCTTTTTGCAACAGAGGTGAGACCCACACTGCTTCACATGGCCACACTGGTGTTTTTGAAAAGCTTTCAGAATCTACTTTCCCCTTTCTTACAAATAAACGCTTTTCCGTAGAGGATAGAAAAGTCACCAGTGTGGTCAGAAAATCAAGAAACACGACCGTTTCAAGGCTTCGTAAAAAGCCCACCGTCCCCTTCGCTGGTGTAAGTCCTGGAGGGAGTGATTCAAGTCACCACATGGATCCTTTGAGGGGACCTCCCTTGGGTTTGCTATGCTGTTCTGTTTCGGCAGAGCCCATGTCAAATGATGATGGCACTGAGTTCTCCTTAGGGGAGCCGTTCTTCTGCCCTTGCGAATGTGTCCGTTTTTTAAAGGCCTCGAGGCTCTCGCTTGTTTTTATTCGAACATACCAATAAATATAACAGCTGGCCCTTTGGGCGTTTCCAATAGATAGCTTTTTATTTGTATCTGTGGCGACTCTGGAGACGCCGCTAAGTCATGAGTCAGGAGATCCCTGCCTTTAAAAAATAGTATTATTTTTTTTGACGGACGGATGTGCGTCGAGACTTGTTTGGCTGCTCGGGCCAAGTGGGGAGAGTGGGAGAGTCGCATGATTCATGTCTAGGAGGAAGGGGCCGGGTTTGAATCCGAACATTACCCGCTTGGAATGCGGAAAAGCAGCAAAAAAAAGGGACTTGCTTTGCTTGGATACATCCCTCTGCACCCTTTAATGTGTTCCTCCTCCTCATGTACTCTGACTTCCTGAGTGGAGGAAGGAAATCTCCCTTCGCCTAGGAAACTGCTTTGGGCAACAATGGGCAGCCAGGGGTCCATGGGAACAGTCACCAGCCAGGCCTGTCCTTTGTCCCTGGTGTGTGGTATTTAGAGATAGACTGCCCCTGGAGTTGGAGGTGCTAGATAACTCATGGCCGGGAGACTTTCCTTTTCCATTGAGGCCTCTTTCCCTTTCTGAAAGCGTCTGAGCGGCGGGCCAGCACCCTCTTCACTCCTTAGTGGTCCTCAGAGTTTAGCCCTGCCGGGTTGATATTCGGAACGTTCGCTCCCAGGCGCCTCCTGGCCAGATGACCGAGGCTCGCGGACGCTGGGCATGGGAAGTCCACCGCCTCTCAAGGATCAGAGATGGAGAACGGCTGCCCTCAGCGGTATGGGTGGGATCCTCCAGCGGGCCAGCCTGCTAGCTCTGCCCTACCCCTTCTTGTATCCTTATCTTGTGGCCTTGAGTTACACAGGTTAATGGCGTGAAATGGTCTTTGATCTGCCCTTCCGGCTGAGCAGTCCCATCCGCACAGACCTTCAAGGTGTTTTGAAGGGGGAGGGGGCTGCTTTGGTTCTGACCCATTTCGGCCCAAACGCATGTGGCTCCTAGAAGCAAAATGGGGAATGAAATCCAGCCCCCCCCTTGCACCTGGCGTCTCTCCACCCGGTTTGTTGATGGAGACGAAAGGGCCCCACCTGGTTTAGGTGGAGTGGCTAAGGCAGCCACGCGCAGCCTCTCTTCTGAGTGTGCCCGCTCCACCGCAAAGAACCAGCCCGTGGCCCTCGCTGCCGTCCGCAGACTTTAAGAAGCCGGGAAAAGGAAGCAAAAATTGGATCAGGCCATTTGAGGCCCTCCAGGAATTAGTCTTTGAGCCTCCTGGCCGGGCGTTCGGCTCCCGAGTGCGAAGGATCACTCGGAAGGCCATTCTTCTGCCCACAGAACAGGCAGGGTGTGCGTGAAGACTTGTGTGTGTGTGTGTGTGTGTTGGCATGAATGCACAGGTGGTAAGAAGACCCAATCCAAGGCAGGAAAGTGCCTTGAGCCGAGCAAGTTTTACTTCTGAGAAAAACAAGGCAAATCCAGTGACGCAGCGTCTCCCTTGGCTTCACTACAGGTTGAAGAAGGAAGCAGGGCAATCGGCTCCTCCACAGCCGGGAGATGAGGGGGTGAACATCGCCGACATGGAGCTGAGAGAGGAATGGCAGGATGATGGATTCCCCCGGTAAGCAAGGCCCAGATGAGGCCGAAAAGCAGCTGGCGACCCCGGACAGAAAGGCAGATAGGTACTTTGAGAAGGTAGAGTGAGCCTCCATGGCAGAAGGCAGTCTACCTCCGAAGGCCAAGGAACTGGGAAGAAGTCGTAGAGAAGGGCTGGCGGCCTTTGCAGCAGATGCGGCTTTTCTCACAGTTGGTCACTGTGAGGAACCGGGCGTGGGAAGTGAGTGGACGTGCACCTTGGGTCCAGAGGTCGGATCACTTTCTTAAGAGGGGTGACAGGAGGCTGGCCCCGGGCAGCCTGGAGATCCCGGGAGTCATCATCTGTAGGCAGGATCCTCTTCTGAGCAAGAGACAGGATTTTCTCTCCCGACCAAAGCTACACCCATTTCCCCCCCTTCCGAACAACCCCACCTGCTTCTCACACCTTGCAGGCCCACCTGGCAAATCTGGGAGTGTGTCTGTCTGCATGGCACAGGTGCACCGGTCGGATCCTGCTTTAAGGAGCCCTGGGAATGGTAGTCCTCTTCCTCAGCCTCTCTCTTGTTCCTCCCAGGCCCCTGCCAGAGGAGATTTCTGGGGAGGATCTGGAAGAATCCAGCTCGGAGCTCAGTCCAGGTGAGAACCAAGGGGAAAGAAGGTGGAGGAACGGCAGAGAGAGTGAGCCTGAAATTTCCGGCATGCCTTCCGTGGAGGTATGAAGGAGAGACAGCACCTCCCCATAAGGATCTTTCCTTTCTCGCTGAGTGAAAATCTCCTCTTTAATTCTCCCATCTTTGTGGCTGCAACACATACACCAGTTCTTGCAGCCCTAAATGGCAGCTATTGCCCATGCAAGGCTGGTGGAGCTTCCATTTCCAGGGGCAGTCTACTCCTCTGAATACCAGTTGACAAAAACAGGAAGATCTGATTAGGTCCCTTTTGACTTACCGTATGCATATTCTCGTCTACTTTTTCTCTAATGGAGGAGGTACGTTAGCCATGAGAGAATGTGTGGGTCTCACTACTGTAGTCCCCATCATCCCCCATGACTGTCAGCCCCAGAGACTGGGAATGTTACTTTTTAGGGCCACAACACCCAGGGTTCAGGGAAAAAACAGGAAGATCTGATTAGGTCCCTTTTGACTTACCGTATGCATATTCTCGTCTACTTTTTCTCTAATGGAGGAGGTACGTTAGCCATGAGAGAATGTGTGGGTCTCAGTACTGTAGTCCCCATCATCCCCCATGACTGTCAGCCCCAGAGACTGGGAATGTTACTTTTTAGGGCCACAACACCCAGGGTTCTGGGAGTCTTTAAAAGTAACTTTCCTCATCTCTGGTGATTCCGTCTCTCTCTCTCGAGAAAATAAACAGCTAAATAATATCTGGAGCGGCCGGCTTCTGGGATTCCTTACTTCTTTGCAAATTGCCACAATGCTTAAAATAAAACTTCCAGGCTCAGGTGCAGTCAGTCTGTTGCTTAACATCAGCCAGCCAATATGTTAAGCCTTGTTTTTTTGGCTCTCCCCCACCAGTCGCCCCCAGCACCCTGGAACTGTGCGGACGGCGGCGTATGAAGAAACGCCTCCCGGCGCCGGATCTCAGCGAAGGGTCCTTAAAATCCGACGAGTTTACAGAGCGCACCCCCGATGGCAGCTTAGATCTGGACCTGGAGGCACTGGAGACGCCATCCGAAAGCGAGCTGCAAGGAAGCTCCGAGAATGGGCACGAGTTCGAATGGGAAGGTGAGGCTGCGGGTGCGGGTCTCGCTCAGGATCTGACAGACACAGCTGTAAGGGGTGGCTGGCAGAAGGAAGATGGGTAGAGATGGGAAGATGTGGGTTTGTGAGACCTAAAGTCTCTGGAAATGAGAGCAGCGTTCTGGGCTGCAAAGTGGAGGTCCAGCGCCGGGCTACTTCATGCCATTCGGGGCTGTGAACCAGGGCTCAGTTCTTGAGAAAACTCCCTGGATGTGAAGCAGTCGACTTCCAAGCTCCTGATACTGTGTTTTTGCCCCCCTTGCTCAGTGTGTGGGTTTTGATGTTAAAGCTCATCCCACATTTAAAATGCAGAGAGTCCTGATTGACTGCCCACATTCCAGAAGGGCACGACTTTTGCTTTCCTGAGCAAGTGTGGACTTTGCAGGGCAATGTTTAGAGGGTTGGACCCAGACTTGAGATCCGGGTGGCTTTGTTTTCTTTTTCCCAGCCAAATCTCCCTCACAGGGCCGTCGTGGTGATAGAGTGGGAGGAGGAGAGCCCTAGGCAGGACCTTGCGTTCGTGGGAAGAAAGACAGAATGGGAGGGGATTTAGAAACAAGTCACAGATGAATTCATCTTTGCCCGACGTTGCCCCCAATCCCAAGTCAACCCTGAATACGTGTGCCCTCAGATGACTTCCCAAGGGCCCAGCGAGTGGACGGCAACTGGATGGAGAAATTTGGCCCGGGCCGTGTGATGGACACCAAGGACCAGGAAGGCAGGATGTGGCGCATCTTCCTCACGGACGATCGGGAACAGAAGGTGGACTTGAGCGCTGTCGGGCCCTACAAGCGCGTCATTTCCCATGGAGGTAACGACAAGGCATATCCTGACCTTGATTCACAGAGGAAAGTTCAGATATACGATATCCCTGGCACAGTCTCACTGCTGGGTTAAAAGACCCCCCTAAGCTTCTGCCCCACCTTGAGAGTCCTGGAGGAAAAAGCAGGACCCAAGTGTAACATATTTTCAAATGACATTTGGTGGGTTTTTTTCCTGTGCAGTGGAGGGCAGAGTCTTATTATAAAACGAGGTTCTGATCGGCCTTTGCAACGGGCTGGCTTTCTCCTCCTTTCTCTCTCTCTCCTCCAGGGTATTATGGTGAAGGCCTGAATGCCATTATCATGTTCACGTCCTGTTACTTACCGGACAGTTCCATCCAGGATTATCCTTACGTCATGGAGAACCTCTTTAGGTGAGTGCCAGGTCTTCTGGGAGTTGGAAAAATATGCGCATCCCCAGCAATTCTCCCTCCCCTCCCCAGGAAAAACGGTAGACTTTTCTGAGGTCCACAAAAACTGGCCCCAGGTAACCCATGTCGGAGTTTCCAACCCTGCCAGACTCTTCCCCCCCCAAAAAAAACGTGCAGAATATTTTTGTCAGACCAATAAAATCTCACACACGGAAGCCAGCTTTGGGGGTCCTACAGGATCCTTCCTTGGGGTGGGGAGGATGGAAGGCTGATGACTCCCTCCTAAAGCCATTTGGCGGTGGTTTTTGGGACTTTTAATGCTCTGAAACACCACCACTCTCTGGACTCTTGATGTCTTTGGTCATTCTCTGTTTTTTTTTAAAGCATGTGATCGTGATTTGCTGAGGGTCTCCCCAACACTGCAGGTACATAATCGGAACTCTGGAACTGATGGTAGCAGAGAATTACATGCTGGTGTGTCTGAACGGCGCCACTCCCCGTAGCCGGATCCCTTCCTTTGCCTGGATCAGACAGTGTTACCAGACCATAGACAGACGGTAAGAGGCATGACCTTCGTTCTCTGTTCACTCCTGTATTGAATTTCTAATCCAATTCAAATGCATTTATTACTGTATCAACACATTAAAAAAGTATTCATGAAATGAGAGAAAAATATATGATTCTTACAAAAGTTCAAATTTCTTGATTCCATTCCTCTGTGATTTTTCATCAAGAAGCTACCCAAAATCAAGTTATGTCCGTTTGTCTGTAACTGGAATGTGACTCTGAATTCTTGATAGAAAAATCCTAGGGCAGAGAGTTCCACCAGTAAACAGCAAGTTACGTCCTCTTTTTCTTTCTTTCTTTATTTTCCAGACTCCGGAAGAACTTGAAGACTTTGATTATTGTTCACCCTACTTGGTACATCCGAGCGCTTATGGCCGTGTTTCGACCTTTCATCAGGTTGGTTTTCTCATCTCTTATTTTTTGACAAGTGATGTTTTACATTCTTTCACATTGTATACAGGTACATTTAATCCACTTAGTTGGCTGATTCACTTATTATCATTGTATGTGATCCTGTTTGTGCAAGAAAGCTGGGCGTGAGAGATCTTACAGAAATAAAATAAACAAACCAAATAAATAACCGAATACCAGCCAAAAAACCTGAGCCATTGCTCTGATGCAGGTTGACTTTCATTGGACTTAGTCCGAGACATTCTTGACGTCTTGCTGTAAATCTGTACTTTGAATGCTTCTTACCTTTTTAAAGTGTCCTGAGTCAAGGTCCACATTTCAGGATGTACAGGAGAACTGTGAATACCTAGCACAGCAGAACGGGCATTCTAAAAACCGATTTTCAGGTTTTGTTGCAAATTGCATTCTTTATTTTAAGAAAACCGCTTTGGGCCTTTTCTACTCTGCCTTTAGTTCATGGGTGTGATCCAGCTGCTTCTTCAACTGGCATCCAGGTCTTGGAAGTCTGTGGTTCACAAACCCTTGGGCTGCAGTAGGCTCTTTTAACTCCCCCCCCCCCCCCCCGTCTCTCTCTTCAGTTCCAAGTTCAGCCGAAAAGTGCAGTTTGTGGCTAGTCTTGATGAACTGTCTGAGTGGATCCCCATGGAGCAGGTGCACATCCCGGATTGTGTCCGCCAGTGAGTATTTATCATGTTTTTTTTTTTGTGGTGGGGGGCAAGACGTGAGTCTGGGAGAAGGGCTGTTTATTATGGCGTCAAGTCTTGATGAGGTCCTCTTTGTGAGGCCATCATGTAGCCTTGGCCTTACCTGGCAATGGAGCCACTAATGTTTCAAAAAACGTGCGGTTTTATTCCTCTTTCTCCTTCTTTTGCAGATTTGATCTCCTGAAAAGCAGATAGATCCCGGAGCTATCAAGCAGTAAAGCCGTTTTGGGTTTTCTTACACAGCTCACAGCTGAACGAACTCCTTTGGTCAGTGTTTTAATTTTCTTTTTACAGATTCAAACACACCCACCCATCTGTTACCTTTAAAAATAATAATGTAAGATGCTTTTGGTGAAAACTGTCGAGGATCACAGGGAGGGGTTTCAAAATTGTCATTTGAAAGTCAGCTTTTAAGATGAAAACGAAGGAAAACAAAGCCTCCCCTTCGACCAGGACGATTATGTTCAGTGGATCAATTTGAAGAAGGAGGGAGGGATCTCTGCTAACTGGGCACTTTAGTGGAAATTCCTTTGCATATGCTCAGAGGCACAGTTGTTTAATATTGCTAAATATACCTTCATTCACGGAAGTGATGCTTCCCTCTGAGGTTGGGTGACTGATGATGTTACCGTGGGCGTCTTCTCGGTGGCTCATCAGGCCCTTGTGTGTGCATATGTGGGTCTCCTTGTAAGTATGTTTAGCTTAGCCTTTGTTGATGAGGTGAGGCCTTCATAGAAACGGTTTGAAATGCAGTGTGTGCTTAAGAAAGAGACTTTCAGAGTCTGGGGACAATAGGATGCCTGGACTACAAATCCCAGAATCCTCTCAGATAACAATAGCCATATTGGCTGAGAAATGCTGGACATTATGCTTCCCAGAAGTATTTCTTATGTAGAACCAACCCCAGCTGAATTTTTAACTTTTTTTAAAAAATGAGGGTGGGGCAGCATAAATTTTATTAAATTTGTTGGCCAGGATTCTGGGGGTTGTAGTCCAAAGACAAGTAAATTACTTTTTGAAGCCTAGAATTGCTGTATTTTGCAGCTGGATGGCAACATAGTAGGGCTTTTGAAAGGGGGAAAGAAAGCTTTTAACTTTTTTTGAGGGGGGTGTTCTGATGCAGCAGCCTTTTGTGGGAGGGTTTGGCGTTTGCCCTGGGCCTGATTTGCATATATGCATATAAGGTAATCATAATTTTAAAAACCCACAGGGCTCCACGACTGGGGGAATGTCTATTTCCCAAAAAAGTTTTCTCCCTATTAAAAAAAAAAAATCTGTATTTCTAGGCGTGGGAAGTGCATCAAATGCTGAACACGCCCCAGGAGTAAAACGCGAAGTAAATGCATCAAA